GCGGCTCCGCGGCTGGCGGGTGTTCCTTGGTTTCGTCTTGCCTTCGGACCAGTCCGCCGCGCGTTGGCCATCGAGACGATCAGACCGCCCGGCGGCCTGGCGTAGCCTGGCGGTGCGCGACGTGCCCGTCGGAGAGTCGTCGCCGCGATCCCCATGTGACGCCGCGCGAGGTGCGCGTCGACCGCCATGTCCGAGTCCGCGGCCAGGACGCCGCCGACGCCGCTCGGCGTGCCGGCAGTGGTGGTGCACCCCCCGGAGAGCTCTGAGCCGGCGGCTCTGGAGGCCGCGGGTGGCCCTCCAGGGGATGCGCCCCGCGGGGCCGCGCGGCCAGGGTCCTCGGAGAGGCAGTCGCCCGACGGCAGCCCGCGGAGGCCCTCCAAGAGGGCGGCCAAGAGGGCCTCGCGGGGCGCGCTGGACAAGGCCTCGCCGCCCGCCAAGTCGGCCAGGGCGACGCGCTCCGCCTGGAAGCCAAGCCTGCTCGTCCAGCACGCCTCCAGGGTCGTCACTGTGAGTTACCAGTGTACTCGGCGACCCGGGCTGGACAAGCCCTCACTGTTCTCGCCTCGGCCGTGATGGCGCTCGAACCAGTGAGGCGCGAGTGTGCCGGCGTGCCGAGGCCGGGCGTGGAAGATGACCCCTCCGCGATCTGGCCGAGGCCGCGAGGCCCCCGCTATCTGTTCGGCGCTTTTTTTCCTGTTTCCCTGCTTTACGCCACATCGTCCGCGTCGCGACGCGCGAAATGGGACGACGTAATTACGGCGCTGCACTGCCAAGGCACAGTGTCGGCACTCTGGCTATGGCACACTTAATTATCTCAGCCACCTCGCTTTTCGTTTCGTCCGCTTCTCTCGACTTCGGCTTCGCCTTTGCCTTTCGGCCGCCAATTGGAGCTTGACGTCGTTATCTTGGAGTGCACGCTGCACCCTACACTAGACGCCCATCGGGCTAATGAAGCGGAGCGCGCAGCGCGCAGCGGGCTAATGTCATCACTTTGCCAATTGGGAATCCGCCGGCCCTGCCGACGGCAACAGCGTCAAGTCCTCGGTCAAGTCGCCTCGGAAGCGCTGGGAAGGTGCACAGTGGGCCAGAAGACCGGTGGAGGCGGCCAAACCTCCAGACGCGTTTTGAGCTCCAGAGTCGCTAAACAGGACTCGAACCGAACGTGTGACCCCACCAATGGATTCCTCGTTCGGAGAGCAATCCATCGGTGGGGTCACACGTTCGGTTCGAGTCCCATTCAGCGACTCTGGAGCTCAAAACGCGTCCGGGCCTTTGAGCGCCTCCGTCGGTGACTCCATGGGGTAGTTAACAGTGTAGGCAGCGAGCGCCGTCACCTGTCGCCCCATCCCCAATGCATCGGTGGGGCGGCCCGGGTCGGCGGGGTCGGCGGGGCGACGACTCGAGGGCGGGCCGAGCCACGCCGAGCCACGCCGACCCGCCGAGGTCTGATCGACTGATCGAAAAGAAAAGGATAGACAAGTGGCCCGTAATTCGCGCACACGCGATGGCCCTACCAGTGTGGCGGTACGTACGTTATCGTTTCCTCGGCGGAGGGCACACTGTGTTGCTGCGGTCGCCGCGCCTCGCGTGTCGCTCGCGGCCACTTGCAGGGGCCGAGGCCGTTTTCCAACTTATCGGCCAGTTTCGTCCGCCTCCGCCGTCGAAATGCAAAGAAAGGAACGGCGGAAACCTCGCGAGCTTCTCCTGGACTGGACGACGCGCCGCGTGCAGCGGTCAGGTCAGCAGTGCACCGGTCGCGTTGGTGGCCATGACGGCCATGACGCATGCGTGGCCGCGCCGCGTGGTTCGCAGTAAGGAGATAGGCTTTTCGTGGAAGACGAACTATCGACATGCGCTGCGGTGCTGCGGTGCGAGGCGCAGCGCTGTCACCGGCCCCCGGGCGGGCACGCGACACGCGAGTCAGCCCGGCTTTGGCTTCGGCGGCCTTGGCTTCGGCGGCCTTGCCGGCACACTCGCGTCCTTGGGTTGGGACACCGCCTTGGGCTTTTGGGGTCTCAACGCCTCACTCGGTCGGTGCAGCCAGTTCCAACTTGACGGCCGACCAAAAAAAAAAAAAATAAAAAAAATAAAAAAAATGGCCGCACTGGCATCATTTGGATGTTACTGTGGGCCCAGCTGTGTCTGTCTCTGTCGCACACCTCCGCGTTTCGGGGCTTATCAAGGCGAGAAAGCGGCGCGCGAAACGATGCGGCGAAATGTGTTGGTTGTGGGCTGTGTGTACCTAACGGGTGCCGCACCTGTGGCACACACACACACACACGAGCACGCCGGCTGCTGACTCGGTTTATCTCGCCGCCTTGCTGCTAGTCGGCATGGAGTTGGCGTGCGTCGAGGACCCCAGGACCGTGATCCTGGCCTCCCCCTTCCGCAGGGGGAGCTCCCTCAGGATCCCCCTGTCGTTCCAGTCGGTGAGCTCTGCAGGCCTGCGGGTCCTCTTAGTCGACGTTTGCTTTTGGACGGTCCTGGGTGCAAAGCCGCTTCGCTGTAGCCTTATTTTGTGTTGTTGAACCCTGTCCTGCCAGTGAGGTGCGCCCGAGTGCAGAGACGCCTCCGGCATTGAGTTCCCTGCATTGCAGCTCGACCGCGGGCCTGGTCACCTTGCCCCGAGACGATGTAAACACCCTCTGTTTCTCTTGCCATCGCCGTGGTCCACCACACTAGGAGTCCGGGTGCTCAACAAATGAGCCTGCGCCGGACCCGTCCCCATGGAACAGTCATGCATCACGCCCGGAGGCGTCGCTCCGGCAGTCGGCCCGCTCGGCCCGGACTCCGGGACCGGAAACGCGAGTGTCGCGGCGCAGGCGGAGACGGCCAGCAGTGCGGCGGGCTGGGTGGCCGGGATGGCCGGGATGGCCGAGGCGGCCGAAGCAGCCGCCGCGGACTTAGGCCGTGCTCGCGGTCCGTCCGAGGACGACCACTCAGCCTGGCCCTCTGGAATGCCGACGCTGCCGACGGACCAAGCGCCTCCCCTGGCTGCGTTTTCGGAGTGGCTGCCCGGAGCCGGCGACGACCTGGAAGGCGACCTGGAAGGCGACCTGGAAGGCCTGGAAGTGGCGCGCAGGGAAGCCCCCCGCAGCCGGTCGCCGTCGCCGTGCCCGCCCAAGCCGGTGCGCCGCAGCCTGGTGCGCAGGGTGTCGGTGTCGGCGCCGGCCTCGCCGCTGCTGCCGCGCCTGGCGATGCTGGCGGACACGCCGTGCGACACGCCGTGCGACACGCCCATGTCGTCGACGTGCACCTCCCTGTCGCCGACGCCGACCCCGGCCGCCTCGCGCACGGACCTCAAGGTGCGCTTCCTGGAGCTGCCGAAGCACGCCTGGGAGGACAAGGGGCGCGCGCGGAACGCGATTAACGCGCGCAGCGTGGCCGTCGCCATGGAGACGGACAGCGGCGACGAGGAGGAGGACGACGAGGGCACGTCGGTGGACGCGACGCCGTCGCCGTCGCCCACGCCCGCGGCCGGGCCCGGCGAGCAGCACGGCCTGCTTCACCAGCACCACCACGGCAGCGTGGACCACCACCGGCACCACCACCATCACCACCACCACCACGGGCTGCACGGCTTCGGGCTGGGCCGCCGCCGCCTGTCGTCCTTCCTGCACCTGCAGCTGCACATGCCGGACCACTGGCCCTCCGTGCCGCAGTTCAAGCTGTCGCCGCCGTGCTCCGAGGACGCCGAGTCCGCCGACAACCTGTCGTTCGGCACGCCGCAGTACTCGGGCTTGCGGAGGTTCAGCTTCGGGCTGGGACTCCGCCGCCTCTCCCAAGCGGTACACATGCCCTGCTCCGCGTGCCGCGTGCTGGCCGTGGACGTCCTCACGGTCGTGTCGTGTCGTGTCGCTTCATTAACAGTGGGTGAGGACGGGGCGAGGGTTCAACAGGTGCGCCGGGCTGGGCTGGGCAGCAAAGCTGTTCCCGCAAACCCACCTTAAAATTTTCCCACAGACATTTACTTAAAATATCCCGAAAACAGGTTTAAAATTCTCAAATAATTTTTTGGAGTATAAATAATTAGAAGCATGAAATTAATAAATCCGCAGCATTTTGCAGCTTAAAATTCCCCGTGAGTCCGGTTGGGCCGGGTTGGGCCCATTTGCGACAAACCTGGAACACTGGAGGAACCTCAGTACAGCTCGTGCCCCGTTGGCAACCTTTGCAACCCTTGCCTTTCGGCCCCGAGGTGCCCTTGGCGGCAGAACTGCCACACTACGAGTGCAGCGCGCTGCGTTTGGAACCAGGGAGAGAGTGAGAGAGAGGGAGCGCTCGGCTTTTTGTCGATCCCGAGGACGGGACAACGGAGTGGAACCGCAATGTCTTCTCACTGTCTCTCACTGGGCCAATGTCGCATTTTGACGCTTTTTTTTTTGCCTAACCCTTGTTTTACAATTATGTGTAAAACTTTCTGCCGAAGCTGCATGATGGCTGCAAGGTGCCGATGTCTTCTTGGGTAAACGTGTTGAAGTTTAGTATGTTTCTTCTAGTTTTGTCTGCTCCAGCAGACCGCCTAGTGGACACTGGTGACTTTTATACAAATCCTGTCGGATTCTTTAATGCAATCGTGTGTGACCCCATGATGACTTACTACTATACTTGTACCGCACTATTAGGTGCTTAATCTTTAGTGTATTCGTTGCTGGTGAATAATCCCTGTGGTTGGGTTTTTTACTCTGCTAAATTTAAACCCTACTCGGCATCCTTACTCTGCTTAAAACCTTGTTTTTTTTTTACTAATTTTTTGGAGTTGTGTGTGTTGTGTGTTGTATCCCTTAACACTCTTCAGAAATGTAATATGTTATGTACCTAATGTAAGCTCCAATTAAAAATGCCTGGTTTTGACAGTATTTGTTTGGTACTTATCCTTAGCATCGCCTTCTTCCTTTTGCTCATGTGTTTGATGACCAGCATTCTGTTCCTTTGTCCCTTATTCATTAAAATTTGTAAAGCACCATGAATTTAATTTTTTCCTTCCTCTTCTTTTACAGGCTCTTAGCCACAGTGAATCCATGGTGTCTTTCTCTCATCGTACCCTAGTAAATTACATCAGGGATGAAAATCTCCATGCACTTCAGGGCTTTCTGGAGAACAAGCGGGCTGTGGTTGATGATAGGGACGAGGTATGCAAACCCATATATTGAAAACGAGCTCCTCTTCAGTACACTGTAGTGTTCTATTTTATTTTAATCTCACTCTTGTACTGTTTTAGAACGGAGCTACCGCTTTACATGTAGCAGCTGCCAAAGGAAAGCTTCAGTTTGTACGAGAGTTGATAAGCCATGGAGCTGATGTCAATGCCGAAGACAATGTAAGAGGACATGCATGTAATCATTATTTTTATGTCTAACTTAATGAAATACTAACAACATTCTTTGTGCACAGGATCAATGGTGTTCCCTTTTATGTGCTGCAAAAGAAGGCTACTCTGATGTATGCATTGAGCTTCTTGACAATGGGGCAGACATTGAACACAAAGACATGGTAGGGATTTTGCTTTACGTTTTGCAACTTTATCCTCCCAAGTTTCTTTAGGACCTTCAAATATATATTTTTTTTTGTCCTTTTATTAATGTAATTTTTTTTTTTTGGTTTGCAGGGAGGCTGGACAGCTCTCATGTGGGCATCGTACAAAGGCAAAGAAGAGGTTGTGGATGTGTTGTTGGAACGTGGAGCAGATGTTAATGCCTGTGGCAACTTCCACATCCCTTCCCTTCTCTGGGCTGCTGGTCGTGGACATACTGAGATAGCACTAAAACTGATCCAGGCGGGTGCCAAAATCAACTTTGGTGATAAGGTTTGTTCTTGATCCTGTTTTTTCTAATCTCTTTCTGTCATCTGTTGATACATTTGAATTTAATTGTGCTGTTGCTTTAATTTTTCACCATACAGTATGGTACAACAGCTCTGGTTTGGGCATGCCGGAAGGGAGATGCCTCTATTGTGAGAGTAATTCTTAATGCTGGTGCAAATGTGGATACTGCTGGCATGTATTCCTGGACACCATTGCTTGTAGCTACTATGGGAAATCATTTAGAGATTGTCAATTTAATTTTGGAACATAAACCCAATGTGAATGCTCTTGATAAAGATGGCCACACTGCCCTTACAATAGCCTGTAAAGAAGGATTCCTTGAAATAGCACAAGCGCTTTTGAATTATGGTGCTTACATCAATATTCAGGTTTGTAATTACCTGTTTTTTGTTACATTGGCCTTGATTATCCATTGAACTTATTGATGTGATGGTATATTTCCAGGATCGTATGGGTGATACCACTCTTATCCATGCTGTAAAAGGTGGTCATAGGAGTGTTGTAGAAGCTTTGCTCAAAAAATATGCTGATGTTGACATTCCAGGAAAGGTTGGTTGCTTTGTTTTAGGAAAATAATATTGCTGAGTTAACCTGGAAAATCTTCATTACATTTACCATTAACTTGTTCAGGAGAAGAAGACTGCCACATATACTGCTGTAGAAAAAGGACACATTCCTATTTTGAAGCTTCTGTTAAACGCCAACCCAGACCTGGAAATTCAGACAAAGGTAAAAAGCTTTACACTGAAGAAAATTGGAATTACGTACAGTAAATGCTGATAGTTGTATTCCTTCTTCAGGATGGAGATACTGCACTTCTTAGAGCAGTTCGTTCAAGAAATTCTGAGGCTGTGCAACTTTTGCTTGACAAAAAGGCAAAAGTTAGTGCTGCTGACAAACGTGGAGACACAGCATTACACATTGCAATGCGTGCTCGCTCGAAAGCTGTAGTTGAGGTTCTCCTTCGTAATCCAAAGCACTCTCAATTGCTATATCGCCCAAATAGAGCGGGAGAAACACCATATAACATTGATATGAGTCATGATAAAACAATTTTAGGACAAATTTTTGGAGCTCGTAAGTTTTTATTGAAAATGTTTCCCATTGTTTATAGTTGTATTTCTCATGTAAATTTCACCACTCACCCATACCAAAATTTTTCAGGGCGCCTCAACACCAACGAAGATAATGAAAACATGCTCGGCTATGATCTGTACAGCAGTGCCTTAGCAGACATCCTTAGTGAACCATCTCTATCTATGCCTATTACTGTAGGATTGTATGCAAAGTGGGGTAGTGGTAAATCGTTCTTACTGAATAAATTGAGAGGTAAGATTTTCAGGTTCTGGTCAATTGTGCTATTGATGTTAAATTCACTTCAACAGAACTTTCTAAATAATAAACCGATTTCGGGTTTCCTCTTTTTTTCAGAGGAGATGCAGAATTTTGCTCGTCAATGGGTAGATCCTGTTTTTCAATTTACTTGGATACTTCTCTTGGTAGTCACTCACATCTCATTAATAGTTGGTTTAGTTTTTGGTCTGATCAGTTCAAGTTGGATCTTGGGCCTTTCAGTAGGGACATCTATTTTTATTATTTCATATTCTCTTGCCATCTTAATTTGGTACAGTGGGAAGCGGTACGTAAGACATGACCGTTTGTTGAAGTTCAGATTATCCCCCGCTCTTTTTTAACGTTAGTTTTGACTTCCAGGTATGATTGGAGGTGGGCTTATTTAGCTCATCTCTACTTCACAAAGAAATTTGACTCCTTGAGGTTGGTCCTTCAAATGATGTTTTGCCATCCTCCTGGAATCCACAGCGATGATGTATTGGCTGCCCATCCCATCAGGTACGGGTCCTGCCTTGCCTGCCAAAAGATTTAATCACTTGTAAGGGGTAATACTTAACAAATTTCTCTGTTTCAGATTTTATTTTACTGATCAGACTCGTATGAGTTCTACTACTGGAGGAGAAAGTTCTGTTGTTCAAATGTTAGGGTCTTTGTATGATGCCATAGAGAAAGATTTTGGAGGTTTGCCAACTCGTCTTTACCGTGCTTTCCGACCCAAAATAAGTATGTTGATTTGAACCATCAATTCTCTCACATGTGACTTGTACCCTTATCTGGACAAACTTTACTTTTTTTTTCTTTTTCCAGTCAAAAGTTCGTCATCATGGAGATTGAGGAAGTTATGTTGTGTTCCGTATGTTGTAATTTGTGAAATAATGTTTCTTGCCATTGTTGTGGGCACCATAGTTCTTGCACTATACATTCGAAAGTAAGTATAATTTTCACTTTCCCTCTCAGCACTAATGTTTTCAATAAAATGAGCTTTCACATGTGTAAAATATTATTTTCAGAGATCAAAGAATTGAAAAGGCAGTGGCTGAAGTCATCCTAATAACCATTGGTCTAATCGCGATAATGGCTATTGTATCCAATTTATATACCTGGGGCAGAATGCTTGGAGCATTAGTATTTTCTCAGAGGCGTCAACTGCAGCGCTCTATCACCAGGGTTGAAACTCTACGCTCAGAAGGTTTTCTTCAGGCTGTGCGTCAGGAAGTTACATTCATGACTGATATGGTAATGTATTAAAAGTCCTTTGATGCAACATTTTAAAGAAATTATAATCAGGTTGTTTTACAATAAAATTAAAATTATTTTTCTTTTTTCTTCAGATAAAATGTTTGGATGGATTTTGCCAACAACAAAGTAGATTGGTGGTCGTCGTTGATGGCCTTGATGCTTGTGAGCAAGACAAGGTTGTCTTAGTGCTTGATGCTGTCCATCTTCTCTTCTCTGATGCTAACTCTCCCTACATTGTCATACTGGCCATTGATCCTCATGTTGTTTCAAAGGTGTGTATGTTTTTTTTTAAATTAAATTGTCCTATGGATTAAAAATTAAAACAATGATGGTTGTTGAGCCACACCACCAGCCAGTCACATTCTCTCTGGAAATCTATGACATTTGTGCTGTTGGGTTACCCATTTGCAGCAGGTGTTCCACCAGCTTTTGGGAATTCTTCGACTGCCTTTTTTGCCTTGCCCTCAAAGGGATGAATTGCCTTCACTAACAAAACATGGACACAGATCTCCATGCATTCATTAACCTTCATGCTTTTTAATTTCATATAAATCTTTCCTTCATATCTGGTTGTGGCTAGATGCAGCTGTGTACTTTGCTTCATTTAGGCTCATTTACAACATTTTGACTTGCTCTTCTATACTCTGTTCGCAACATCTTTGGTAGGCATTGTCCTTGAATTTGTCAGTTAGAAGTAGTGCAAGATAATTTAGGGGAAGTGAGAGGGCCAATGTGGATACTATTGTTTTCTAATCAAAAAGTTTCTTCCCAATGCTGTGTCAAGGTGGCAAGCGAGGAGGTCAGTGTGAGTCGAAATTTTATCTCATAATTTTGTTTCCTCTTTTAAAAAAACAAACAATCTATTCCTTATTTACCTTTGAGAGCTTTTGTGAGTGCGCGTACATAAGGCCTAGCATACGAGCTTTCTTTTTTAGGAAGGTTCAATCATCTTGTATTGCAAATAACTTAGAGCAGCATGGAATGCAGCTCTCAAAAGCTACAATGTACCTATTTTTATTTGTTGTTGTTTTTTTTTTTTTTGTTAGTCTTCTGTACCCCTTTACCCTACTCCCTTTGCTTGCTAGCTATTCATTTAAAATTTTCCTTTAATCGTTTTCTAATTTACATCTCCTTTCTGATTTCATGTTAAATGTGTACTGGCTTCTGTCTTTGCTTTGATTTTTATACTCTTTTCAACATTTCTCAGTAACCTGTTTTTTTTTTTTTTACAAGAATCTCAAATTAAGCAAACACTTACAGACACATACATCTTTGTTGTTTTGAAAATTAATATGTACTTCTCATACTCTTGAAGCTTTCCACTTTTTTAGCTTTCTTTCTAGTGTATTCGAATGTGTTTGTACCAGTAACTAATTTTCAGATCTTTCCAATTTAATAACATGTCCAAATGAGTCTTGTTCTTACACTTTTGTACATGTTTTCAGGCGGTGGAACTGAGCAGCAGACGTTTATTTACTGAGTCCAACATAGGAGGACACGATTATTTACGCAACATGGTGCATTTACCATTTTACCTTCAAAACTCTGGTTTGCGAAATGTGAAGGTAGCACAAACAGCAGCAATGCAGCATCGAAAGTCGCAGCCAGGTTTTGAATCCAGTGATGATGGTTTCTTAGGTTATGCATCGCACAACCAGGTTTGTTTGATCTGTTCAATAAATGATATCATTGATGCTACTCTTACTCCTACTCCTGTAAATCTATCCTTGATGCAACTTTTCAACCAGGCATCTCGGAGGCTATCAACTGAATCAGGCATGAGTAGCACAGAACGCCTCAAAACTATTCCTAAGAAAGGACGTAAACTGAAACTTAGTGAAAGTGTTGCCAGTAGTCTGGGCAGCAATTTGAATAGAATTGGAGGTGCCCATGACCTCACCAAAATGCTCCTTACCGATGACTACTTCAGTGATGTGACTCCCCGCAGTATGCGTCGGCTTATGAATGTTGTTTATATCACAGGTAGCATGAAATACTGTTTAAGCTTATAACTGACATAATTACTTTTCAACACGATAACAATTTTCTCACCATTTGGTTGTCTACAGGCCGTTTACTGAAAGCATTCCAAATTGACTTTAACTGGTACCATCTTGCAAATTGGGTTAATATTACTGAGCAGTGGCCATTCCGTACTTCTTGGATTATACTTTACTATGAAATGATGGATGAAAATTTAGATGACAACACATCTCTAAAAACGATTTATGACAAGTAAGGCCTGATCTTAGCTTACCCCATCCACTGAAAGTTTCATTTTCTCTTCTCTGTATTTTTATGTTTTCCTTGTGTGTTCTAGAGTGCGTCCTCAAATTCCTATGTCAAAAGATGTTGTTCCTCTCCTGGACTTGGACAGAGATGAGAAAAAGTTTGATATCTTCCTTACATTTCATCGCAACAACCTACTTGTCAGTGATCTGAAAGTGTTCCTGCCGTTTACTATCAATTTGGATCCATACTTGAAAAAAGTTATCAAAGGTATCTATCACTATCTTCGTTAAAAGACCAAGACTATTGCCCATGCTTTTATTTAACTTCAATTTTTATTTGTACCCACAGAAGAACAACAAAGTGCAGAAGAATCCACTGCAGGATTAATGATGTTCCCTCCGAGCATTACAAATCCTATATCAAATCAGCAACCATTGATGATGTCTCACAATACTCCATGGGCTGCGCAGAATAAGACGCCAAACTCAGTTAAAAAGGTAAAAACTGTTCAACAGTCACCTTTGTTACTACTGGTGTGGTGGTTGGTGGTGGTAGTGTGGGAGTAGAGGTCACTGTTTGATGAATAGCGCCGGCGAGTGGGCCTGCACCGACGCACGGCGTTGCTGCAGCAACATGCAAGACTTTTGATGCAACAGTCAAGCCTGCTCCGCAATGAAACAAGTACCTTATTTCTGGAAGCAGATTTTGTTTTCCGGCAAAGTGAGATGCTTCTGTCTCAAGCCAGTGCAGCCACCCAAAAATGTTTCAAGTCATTAAATGTCTATGTCTTGAAATTAAGGAAAGCTTCCACAATGCTTTGTGATGTTGGCGCCCTCTTAAAAACTGTCAGTACTTTGCTAGATTTGGCAAGTGAACATACAATGAAAATGAACTCCATTGTTTTGGTAAAGAGGGATTGTTTAACCCTTTTAATGTGGCTGGAAACATTGTACTATATCAAAGGCTTATCTGTATGTTTAAGTCACCTTTACAGTGTTCAAGCATTTATATGTTTTTACATGAAGTGGATAACTGAACTGCAAAAAAAAGCAACCCTCACAGTTCTGTGGTCAATGTTACACCTAGATAGAAGTGACCTTTTGTTCTATATATCATCTCTGCATCGTACCATGCTTTCCATGCAAAAAAGGCAGGCCCAAATTTTTCATAAAAAGACACTGCTCTTTTTGAAAACGTCAAGAGGTCTTACTCAGTCTAAGCGTTTATCAAAATAAACATCCTTACATTATTTCTCTCAATCCCCCATTTTTCAGAAGTTTCTCAGCTCATTTTATTTAACTAGCATTTCTTTTATCTATTGGTTTCAGGATGATCTTAGTACTAATCTATATTTTGTGAGTACTCTGCAGGGCCTTTGATTTTCCGATTAATGAAATTTGAAATTGAAGTTTGCACTGGCTCTCATTTTTGTAGCTAAGAAATTATACATGTTCAAGATATGTGTACAATAAATTAAGCTTTGCTTTCTAATCACTATTTAACATGTACAAGCAATAAAAGAGAGAACTTTGTTAGCAGTCTAGCTCATTGTCTCAAAGAAAACCTGTGGATTTCTGCCAGCATGTAGCTTACTTATCAGTTCTTTAAAAGTAAAACTTTGAGGTGTTATCCTTTGACCTGAGATCAGATATCCAAAGAGACGCTCAGACTTTTTCACACCTTCTGTATAACAGGTTTTGTTTTCCCGCTTGCATTTGAAAATGGTTTCTATTAATACCAATGAACTCATATCCTGCATGACACAATGCCTCACTGTGCACCTCAGGTGAAACCTGCTTAGCACTCACACAGCATCATTCCTGTTCTCTTCTCACCATTAATGTCTGATTTTTTTTTTCAGCGACCCCTTTTGCGCAGTTCGACTATACAAGGTCCTCCCAGCCAGATGTACCAGTCTCCGCACTCGCTTATGGGCTGGGGAGGCAACAATTGGTTAGGCTTGCAGGATGTGTCTCTCATGTCTGCAATGTCATCGCCCTCCCCTCTGTATCAGCAGCGCCTTCCTTCAATCACACTCACAGTAAGTTTAGAGCTGATGGTGCGATTTATTTCAACTCCAATCATTCAAAACTGTGTTTTTGTACTGTTTAAAGGCAGATGTGGCTGACATGAAACTGTCAGAGTTGTCTGTTGATGGTGTATGCCAGATGTTCTCCAAAATCCCTGATATAAATTCATCACAAGTTGCACGATACACAAGCATAATTAAGGAACACAACATCAATGGAAGAGTTTTGCTGCATTGTGATTTGGATGAGCTCAAGAAGGTAATGCTGCCTTTTTATAGAAGCAATGTTCTTTTTCACAGTTGTGCCATTGCCATCCTACCAACAGAGGTTTATTTTAATGTTTTTTTAAATTAATTATTTGATAATCAGGTGCTGAAGATGAGCTTTGGAGATTGGGAGCTGTTCCGAATGCTAGCTGTTGCTTTAAGAGAACGGGAGATGACCTCCTTCAGCCAAGTAGATGAAACCAATGCCAACAAAAATGTACGGTTTTCTGTGCCCAGCATCCAAGCTACTGGCCCTCCACAGGACCGTGAAAGAGAAAGACGACGTAAGTTATTCATGACATAGTGTTGAAACCATTTTGAGGAAGCCTTCACAAGCCTTCAACATTGTCAGCCACAGTCTTCGTCATGTATATCATGCTTTTCTCATGTAATTCTAGATAATTTGTTTTTATCTTATGGTAATATAAGTATGTTTAACTATGTTTTCATAATTTCGATGGTTTAATTAATCTCATTCAAATGCAGAATCATTCATGTTTTTTTATTGCTTTTCATTGAATGAGATCAATTTTTTTCAATTAAATTAAATTTATCATATGCTTCTTGGAGTGGCTATGGCGAATTTGGATATGGCGTACTCGCATCATGGTCAACGTATTAGCGACCCTCAGTGCGTAGTTCCAATATCTTAATAGTACAATTTTTTCTAAAATGTTTTTAACACTTCCTGCCATGTTATGGCTCAGGATCAAAATGCTTGGCAATATTAATGGTGAAAATGGCTGTTATAATATATTGTAAATTTAGACCAGCTGTTTCAAAGCTTGTAGTTGTTGGTTGTGGTTGCTAGATATTTTTTGTTCTGTGTTGCCGCAGCCTCTGCTTCGAAGATGGCTCCTTCTGACAAGGATGGAATTGCTCTTCGTGCAAAGCCCAGTATCATGGAAAAACAAGTAAGATTATTACTCATACAAAATCTGCCTGTGAGGAAGAATTTTTGTTCACCCACGCAAACTTCCCATTTAATGAACTTCGGGTTGATTCATTCCTATCTTTGGTTTTTTTCTACCTTTTATTTTCTTTATTCTTTTGAACCCATGATTTGGGTTTCCTTGTTCTTCCTTCTATTTGTTCTGATGGTTCTCTAGTGCTTAAAGTGACTTTCATATGAGATTTGGCAATTGCCTTTCTGATGCTCAGCAGGCATCATGGTAGATTAGTCTCAATAGGTAGTTTATACAATGTTGCTTGTTACCCAACTTTCCCAATAGAAATTTTCCATTAACCATGTTACCATATTAACCGCCTATGATATAGATTCTGACACTTACTTTGTAACATTTTGCATTCTCTGTGGCATCTTGGATAATAGTATCAGGTGAGAAGATATATATTCAAAGACTTAGCAGCAATGTTGGAAGCCATGTGGAGCACATTGCACTTTTTCAAACAATTCTCATTTTTCACTGCCTTCTTAAGCAACTTCATAGCACCTTGCACCGGCATTCTTACATAGTTGCTTCGTTTGTTATTTGGACTGCGTTGTTATGATAACAATGAAACATAGCAGTCCAGCGAAAGCACACGAGTCTTTCATTTGATGCCTGTCTTGCAAGGTTTCTCGTCTACATTGAAATTCAGCATTCTGGAGGAAACTGTTCCAGGAAACAGATGCAGTGCAGTTAACTGAGACTATTTTTGCAAAATATTGAAGCTTACTCTCATTCTGTCTTCACCTGCTGCATGTTTTCATTGCTGTTTTCTTCTCTACATCCCCCATTTTCAAATGAATAACGTTCATATGGGTTTTTTTAAAGCAACATATTATCCTTTCTACATTTATTTCATTGTTTGATAAAGGCCAAGGTTTTTTTTTTTTTTTACGATGCATGCAGATGTCAAGTCATCTAATTCTGATAACCCTTTGCTTTTTTGTTAAATTTAGGTGACGCTTGAGGAGCAGATGATCTGTGGCGCGTTGCAAACCTTGAATGAGGAAGCTTGTGAGGATGTCTTGGATGAATCTATTGAAACTAAACGAAGACTCAGTGTTGTCAGCAATGCCCAAGATCCAGGTGAGTCGCATCATCCGAATCAATTTCCGATCTTCCACAACTCTCTGCACGACTCACACAGCTACACAAGACAAGCTGCTTCCTCAGATAATGTGTCCTTGATACCCTCTGCTTCTCCTGTGTCTGATTTGCTTTCATCCCTTGATGTTAACGCAAGTCAAACAGATGCAGATACTAGAATCAATAGTGAATCAGTATCACCAGATACGCAATGTTAATTTTTATCTTGATATGTGATAGTCGTAGCAAAATTCGCCTCACTAGTTTTCTAAGATTTAGACTTTAGTGTTGCTTACTGTACTCATTGTGAATTATGAAACAATCTGTGATAAACGTTTTGTCATTTGTGAAGCAGTTGCCTTGGTAGTTAAGCTTTTTAGTGAAGAATTTAATTGCTCAGAAAATACTGGGACTTTTTGTTCACAACTTTTTTTAAGTTGTTTTTGCAAGGTAACTAACTTTTGAATCATTGGAGTCAGCTCAAGGACAGTCCCCAGGACCAAAAGTGCAGAATTAATTGGGTTTGCAGGCTTACAAAGCAAACAGGACTGCTTTTAAGCAATGAAAAATTAATTCTCCAAACACCTCTAATTCTTCCCACTCCTATTTTTACTGAGCTTATATGCTTTACTTTTTCACTCAGATCAATCATCATTTTTCTGTTAATTTGATGCCTTGACCAAATTTCAGAATTTTATTTTCTTAATTTTTATTGCCTTTGGCTATGATCAATGGATTCATATTTTCACTAGTGCGTCTTTCCAGCACTTCCCTTTCTACATTGCTCAAAGTCAGAAGACTAAATTCTTTACTATGTCAAACCCATAGAACCTGTTGCTGTAGTATTAGAAATATATAGGGCTCTATACAGAAAGCTGGTAAATTTACCTAGCACTTGTCCAGTCTACGGACTTAGCCTCGTGTTAAAATAACAAATTGGTGATGATTCACTTCTTCATTTGAAACCTCCAAAATGAGTTTCTCTTGATCATTTTCATTTCATTGCTGTAAATTCGCTGCTCTGCATGTTTTATTTGTACTTTTCTTCCATTGTCTATCTATATTTTCCTTGTGTGCCTTTATCTCATATTTTATCTATGTATAGCTGCTGGACAGCTTTTGATGTCTTGTAGCTCTGTTATGTACTTTATGTGGAGGCAACATAGAAAGGCAAAGTTAATCATTTCCTTTCTGAAAAACAAATCATCCAAACCTTCCCACATTTTCCATTTGAAGTTCAAATTGATCCAGGGTGGCCTTGCATTACATGAACTTTCATCAGGGTGCTTTACTGTTGCCTTTCTATGTTAGTTTCTCTTTCTATTGCAGTTAAGATATCAAGATTCTAAGCCATCAGCATTGTAAAAAAGTATTACATTGTCTCAGCTGTAATAGAAGTATACTTAATTGTAAATCAAAATGTAAATACATAATATCATTCACTGTGATCGTTGCTTTTAACATGTTAAAGTATTATTCATTCTATCCTTTTCAGAGATGAATTCTTTAGTTAATGTGTAATAGTTATTTGCCATCTGTTTTCTCTCCATCTGAACATTTTAGTGCAAGAAACCACCTTCTGCATATTTATTATTTGATGACCAATAAATTATTTTATTTCAACCTTTTGTTGAGGTCTGGCTACAAATCTGTTCAGATTCATTTCAAACCATCTGCTTGACACAGTGGTTACAGGAGATTTTGATAATGCTTGGTGTTAAGGATGTTTTGAAATTGTTCATTTTTGAAGCACAAATGAATTCTGTCCTATTAGGTTAATTTAATGTTGAACTGGCTTTGAACTGACATTCATTCTCTTGTTTACACGGGCTCTTCAGATGCAAAACTGGGCGCATATTTAAACACAAGAACATAGTTCTGTGAGGGTTCCTAAGGCTTGAATAAATTTGAGATGTTTTAAATGGGTAGGTAATATTGTGTAAATACAATTTTTGGATTAGCGTGCACAATGCTGTTGAAATACTTGGGTGTCCTCCGCTGTACTTACATTGCTTGAAACTATTGGATTGAATTTTTCCTGCCTCTTACTACATCTTATGAGAGATGCACATGGACTTCCATGTTGCTACAAATTCATCTTATACACTGAAATTAAATGAAGGGCCCCAAATAATTTAAGTACTGTGTGGCCTTGGAAAGTCTACATCTGCAGTGAAATCGTGTCTATCAAGGCATTTTTAATTTCAGAGGAATATTTTACTGAAATTACAATATTTTTTTATCTTTTGCTCAAAAGATGTTGATTGATAACCCTTACATTATGAATGTAATGAGTTCTTAATTAGAATCCATACCTTATGCACTTCCCCCTTACCACTAATTCACTCATGTGTGCTTCTTACTGAATTGATTCATAATGTGAATAGAATGCACAATATTGCTGGGTTTGATTGGTTTAATTTCCTTATTTCTCCTTTTTTTCATTTAAAAACATGCCTTCTGACATAGTAGATCCTTTGTGTGCATGTTATTTGTGTTTGTTAGCTGTTGGCTGTACATAGCCTTCGCGCATGCTGCTTTTCTGAAGCACTTTGGAGTTTTCCGCACTCTTCTGACCTGTAAGTATTCTTTGAGTTATCATCTGTAGCGTGGTAGTATTTCCAGTATTTCTTTGGAAAGTTAGCATTTGATTCTTGACCTTGGTATTGTTCTGTCTGAGCAATTTGTGAGGCAGGCATACATCTAATGCTTGATGTTGCCCAGCAGCCTTTGCCTCAATGCTTTTCATCTGTGCTGCTCGGTTCCAATTTATGGGGAATATGTCAAGAACTTGCAGGGAAACCATTTTAAGTTCAATCTCAGAAAAAATTCAATAGGTGGTTACTGCAACAGAAATCCACAAACCACCGGTTTCTCTGGAAGGATGCTTGTTCCATACCCATTCTTGAAATGCGCACTTGGAGGAGAACTTTTTCCATGCTTGCACTGCACCATGCTTTTTTTACACTGAGTCTTTTTCATTAGTGTGTGATGGGGCACTTGTCGCTTTCTCTTGCTTTCAACAGCACTCTACTCATTTTTTATTATTTTTTTGCCACATTGTTTGACTGTTAATGTTATTTCTTTTGTTCATTTTTCAAAGTTGATTTTCCCTAGGTTTTTCTGCCAAATCTTGTTTATGAAATTATGGTTTGACAAACCTTGACGATCCTAGTGTTGTGCCCATAATAAGACAATTTTAGAAAAAGGAGTGTTTAAAAAAAATTAAATCAATATGTTCTGTACTGAACAAAAAACTTTGAATTTCATTTAAAAATTTGCTTCTCATTTTCCTTAATTACTATGGTATGTCTAAATTCCTTGTTTCTGGTTCTCTTTTTAGATTTTGCCCGCCTGGGACATCGTGTACGAAGCGTAAGCCAATGCAGTAGCTTGATGGATAGAGAGGAGACCGAGGTAGTGATGCTTCAGTCCTCACCACTACATCCATATCACTGGCAGGCAGTGGCCATGGGATCCAGCCACGAAGCAAACCTGGACACTTTAAGTATTACAAGCTTCTGTGAGGCGCCTCTCGGGACAACACTTAGGAAGAACTCATCCGCAGCAGATTTAATGAATAAGCCGCCAATCCAACCTTTAAGTGTTAATAATCACAGTGGGTTGGTCAATCAAAGAACAAGTTCTCAAGGGTCTCTGGTTTTAAGAGCATCTAATTCAAATTCTCCGCAACTTGCATCCCAGAGAAGGCCCTCCTCTCTGATTGTAGATGAGCATCTCACCCCACCTTCTGCAGCACCTCCCCTAGCAGCTGTGAGATCTCTCTCTGCCGATGAACGCATCGAGCGGAAACCATCTATTGGTAGGAATAATGTAAATATGTCATCTCGACGTTCCCGTAAAAAGAGCCGTGAGGAAATGTTGGCTCGTTCAGTCTCTCCTTCTTCTAGCTTAGAGAAGTTAAATAGGCTTAAAGAAAAGATCTTGCGTTCTGTCCCAAGACCTGGACAGGATGTTGTGCTGTCCATTGAATCAAAAAGAGATACCTTTGATAGCGATGATGAAAATACACCTCTCGTTTCTGAACTTAATTCTCCTGTGAGGAGCCATAGTGGCAAGAATGATTTTGCTAATGGTGCATTTGGAGATACAGGCAGTGCATCTGGAAGTAGTGAGGTCTCTCCAAGCACTCCTATTTCTCCAATTATAGTTTTAGGATTAGCTGGGGAAGGGATTAAGAGCAAGTCAGGGTCAGCCATTTCACTAACTCAAATGGTGGATAATCAAGGCGGCGTTGGGAGTGGAGAAGGCAAGTCCTGGAGCGGATATGGTGGCGGAGATTCTTTCAACGATATGGACATGACCCCACATCGTTCATCTCCAAGTCATCTGTCAAGACAAGATGCTCTTGATAATAATAAAGCAGACAACAGTAAAGTAGATGAAGATTGGACAAATCCAGAAACCTCTGTTTGATGGGAAATGGTGCAATTTAATTGTTGCAAAGCAGAAGCCATCTTACTCTATGTCCTTGAAAAATAGAAGGGTGGGACCAATTCATTTTCTAAAGGATAACACTCACTGCTATTTTCAATTTGGATCTGCTTTTTTATGAAAGGCTTCTCTCCCTCACAACTGATTACTGATCCATCACGACCCGCTTTGAAAGATGGTACACTTCGGTACACTTCAGTCTCTTTATTGATCTTGAACCGTAGGATTGATGCCTGTTTTTCTCCTTTGAGTTATTATTTATGGCTGTGATAGAAGTGAACAAATGAAGTGGCTGTAAAGTTAGATTTTGTGTACCTTGCAAGAGTCATTCCTGTATTTACATCAATATTGAAATTTATTTTAATAAGGTATGTCCTAGGACTCGGAACAACCTTATGGTGTGTACAGAGCCAATTAGTGATGTGATTTCAGTTTCCATTATTGTTTCTAATCAACACTCCAGAAAGCATTTAATGTTGAGGCTCGGCTTATGTATGGAATTGATGAAAGTCTTTGTGTTTCCAAAGAAAATGTGATCTGAAGTGTTGATACTGGTAGCTTTAAGGGCTTTTAAAGCTCATTTCATTCCAAATTGTTTGAAAACCAAAGCCATAATTATTTTGCTGAATATTATTTTTGTTGAGGGAGCTCAGAAGAGTACCGTATTCATAATGTGTATAATAATCTTACCTAACAAATCTTGTGTGGATTCTTTTAATGTTTTGCTATAGGATCTTTACCCCATTTTTAATTTGCGTCGTTATGATTGCACTTCTTCAGAAATTGTTGAAAATTTGTATTCAAAACCAAACCCTTATCTAAAATGACTTGAGAGATAATTGTTTCCACTTTTTCATGGCAAAGAGTCCCAAAGAAAGTTGCACACAATGTCTCTTGCCTCCTTTTATGAATTCAAGGGTTGTCTCGCTATGCCTTAGTACTATTGTAAATAATTTCAGGTTCCATGAGCTCATGTTAGAGCACGTACTTAGCGGGATAAAATCTTTAGGACTGAATGTACTAGTTCAGAGAGAAGAAAATGTGATTCGAATGTGATCCTGGGGATATAGTAACTGGTGGAAATGAGGGATGTTTTGCTGGTGTTTTTTCTTTTTAATGTTTCGAAAAGTAAGACTGCTGAAACATGGTTCTTTTATTGTTTTAATTGTGGCACTTGCTTTTCTTTTTCCACTGTGGGTGAAAAAATTGTCTTTAATAGTATCCACCTGTTATCTATTAATAATGTTGATGTCTTTATACCAGTAGCATTGTCTTTTGATGTTACTGTATTTTTGTTCTCTTGAGCTCATTGTTTGAGTTACACAGTGTTCTGGTTTAGTGCATTGTAACAATCTTTCAAGTTTCATGCTTAGCTACAAAATTATGTAATGTCTTGACAGTGCCTCTGTAATGACTTCCATTATGTGTGCTTCATTGTTTTTATCATCTTCATAATGCTTTGGTGACTAACACATGTTACCAAGTTTGAGTGACAAATCTTTCACCATTTAGGTGTGAAATGTACTTACATTGAACTTTTATAACAATTGTTACCACTATTGTACCAGTATGGTGCTATGCGGGTCATTGAATTAAAACTCTAGTTAGCAATACTGTTTTTAAAGTATGTTTGAAAGAATTTGTGTATCCCTCACCTGTGTTCGTTAAGTAAAAATGAAGAGGTTTACTTTTGGTGTCGATAGTATCCTTTCTTTTCATTTAGCACTACTAGATAGAGCAAAATAGAACCCAGTGTAGTAAGGCCAATATCTTGATGAGTGACAATAAGATTTTATCAAGTGCTTGTTAGTTTGTTACCTTCTTTGGTCAAAGTATGCTCATGTTAGTATACTGAATTGCAACGGTAGAAATCAGCACACATTACCTGTGAACTGGAGAGGAGACTCGAGTTGAAACTTTAAGACTTGTGAGTACAGATTTTAACTTGTGTTATGTGTATACTAGATAAACAATTTTGTATTTATTAAATTGGTTAAAGAAGATATCCTTTTACAAAAGTGTACATCTTCATTCACCACATGTTTGCAATGGATGATGCTCAACATAAACAATTGTTATAGTTAATATTCTAGATTTTTCTCTTTGTTTCACAGAGAAAAAATTGAAACTATTTTGTGAGTAATACACAAACCAAAGTTCATGTGATTACTCTTTGAACACTTCTATTATCAACAGAATTACTATTATAATGTGAAACCAATGTAATTTTCGTGATCCAGTGATTTAGATCTAGCCTAAATCTGTGTGCATTTGAAAGCTTTTTCTTGTGTTCTGTTGCTTCCTATTTTAGTTTAATTTCTCTATTTGTATTACACTTTAATTTTTTCTTTATTAGTCCTCTAAAAGATATGTATTTGTTGGCTGTATGCTCAAAGTTGTTGTTTTAACTGTTAGGTATTGTTGTTACAAAATACCTCGAGAGCTTACAATTTTGTTATGATCAGTATTATCACTTATTTTGTTACAGTGCTCTGCTCATTACTCTTTAAGCCCTTGCTCTCTCTGTAGCTTTACCGGTATGTTCCCAGAAACGCACAAATGACTGTACCTCCTCATTTTATTATCTCTAATGAATGGAGTGCCTCTTGTGAGTGCTTTAAGACCCATAATTTGCTTTAAGTTTGCTTCTTACGTGGTTTTACTTTGAATATGATACATGACTAGCACTGTGCTGATATTTTAAAAACTTCACCAATTACCAGACTTAATTAATGAGGTTTATCTCGATTTGAATAGTTTGAGTGCATGCTTTTAGGTAGGTGCCTTCCTCCCCTTTTAGTACTCTAGGAAAGAGATAATGTGTTAGATGTGTTAGATAATAGGTCTGTTATGTGATGATTATTTTGAGAAATGAAAGCTATTGTATGTACTTAAAAATAAAGGTCTATATATTTGACGTTCCTTTGATTTTTTTTTTCCAAGCCTTCTTGCTTTATTCCACAACCTACTTTTAAACTTGAAAACAAAACTGGACACGCGTTGACAGCGTCAAAGAAAGAACAGGTGGGGAATGGCAAGGGTGCTGTGGGGGTGGCGATGCGAGGCCAATGAACTTGCCTCCCCTTCCCCCGAAGGGAGTGGAGCAGGGGGAGGGCAGTGGGACACTGTGAGACGGGAAAAAGGGGAAAATAAAAATAGGGAAAGAGGGGGCGAATTGGCGTCCGTGCTCCGCGCACGCGAGCAGCCGCCAGTAAAGCACTAAAGCACTAAGAATGCTCGGAATCGCCGGCACTCAAACACGAATATGATGGGCTAGACCTCAGATGATCGCCACATGGTGGTTACAGCGCGACAGCCGTATCCCCGGCCCGCCATACAATTCATGGATCCTTGTAAACACAGAAAAGCCCATCTGATTTCTGCACATCGCTGCCGTCGCTCTGTCTCTCTCGCACTCGTGCGACGTTGCTTGCGGGTGCGAGAGAGACAGAGCGTCGCACCGCTGTGCGGGACGCGGGACCTTCCAGGCCCTTCGGGCGGCGCGTGCAGTTTCACAGTTTGGCACTGCCACTGCACCTGCCCACCTGCAGAGCGCGCTTCGATCGCGTGGCGGCGCGTGGCGCTTGGCGCGAGGCGCCCCGCTGGAGTCCTACCCTCCCCGATAGCCGCCCCGCCGCGCCCCGCCGCGTGGCCAGCTAATGTTGTGGCCGGGCCGCCTTGCCTTGCCTCGCCTCGCCTCGCCGCGGCACTCCAGCGAGCCATCAGTCGATGTCCGGTCAGCGAGTGCGCCGCGCCGCGAGGGCCGCGACGGGGACCGCGACGGGGACCCCGCAGGCAGCCGCCAATCCATACCGCGCGACCGCCGCGACCACCACCATGCCAGCCTTGACCGCCGACCCCAGGACGACGCCGACCCCCGCCGTGGCCGCCGTGGCTACAGCGCTGAGATGATGCTGCGCGCCGTGCGGCGACGGCCTCGGCCCTGAGGCGCCCTGAGGTGCCCCCAGGTGCCCCGAGGCTGACGGCAAGGGTATCGCGTGTCCGAGGCCGGCGGCATGCCGGCGGCGCGCGGTAGCCAGAGCCCCACGCGCGGGAAGAGCAACAAGGCCAAGAAGTCGCCCTCGCCCGGCCGCGGCGGCGGCAGCAGCAACAGCAGCGTCAACGGCAAGGACGACCTCGACGGCATCGAGGGCCTCGGCGTGGTCGGCAACGGCCTGGCCAACGGCCTGGCCAAGGGCGGACTCGGGAACCCCCCGCCCGCCGCGCAGAGGGCCAGGGTCGCCACCAGCGGCAGCGAGTGAGTACCGGCCCTTTCCCTGAAAGCAATACAATGAATGCCTCTTGTTTATGAGAAGCGGGCCATGCTGCGTTGGCAAAGACATGCAGACAGATTCGCTTGGGTTTAAAAATTGCTCCCACGTGGTGTCGGTTTCTGGCCGCGGCTGTCACGCCAGTGAGAATGTGGTGGACTGGAAGCAAAGAGGCAGTCAGAAAATAACGCCACCAGGAAATGCCCGCGGTCCGGCTCCAGCGACCGCGCCAGCCCGAGCGCCCGCTCTTCGGCGGGTAGGCAACCCGACAACAGGCGTGCGTTCGGATTGCCTACCGCGCGCACGGCAGGCGCGCTTCCTGTTTCTCTCTCTCCTTCCCCGCCTCTCCCGCCACGACTCGACTCGGGGGGCGTGCTCGGCGTGCTCGGCGTGCTCCGAGGTCAGACAGGCGCCTTTCGCCCATTCACTCTGCCGACCTACACACTGCCATTTGTGGGCCCGATTCACGAGGATCGCTCCGTCTCTGTCGCACTCACGGGCCGCCCCGCAGGTGCGCGACAGAGACAGACTTCCTCGGAATAGAGCCGTCGAATGGAAATGGCGGCTGCAACGCAACGGAATTTCCCCCCAGCCGCGAATTTCGGTGCGGTGCTTCGCAGTGTGGGCAGCAGCGTGGGCGAGGCGAGGCCAGTCCGGGGAAATAAGGAATGGTCCCGTTGAGTACTATGCAAATTATTGACCTTGAACCCTTCCTGCGGCCGCCCGGGGAGTAGAAGTGAGCTTGCACAGGGGATTCCCCGCTAAGTCTCACTCCGTCACGCAGTCGTAGTGTAGTAGTCATGGGCCGGTCTTTCTGGCCGATCGGTTTTCTGGCTACTCAGTATTCAGCAGTCTGTCTGCATGTCGTCCGCCTGGTTGTTGTTGGTGTTGTTGTTGTTGTTGTTTGTTGTTGTTGCTGCTGTTATTGTTGTGTTGTTGCTGTTGCGCGTGTTGCTCCTGGAAGTGGATGAGAAATTGCGCAGAGCTTCGCCACTCGATGGTGGTAGATGGTGGCGGTGGCCTTGCCCGGCCAGCGAGTCGACGGGGTGCTCGGTCACCCTAGGTCACGCTGCGCCATTCGAACCCCTTTGGCGCCAAAGCCAACCTAACCCAACCAGACTGATGGCGGCGGCGGCCTTGTCGGCCTTGCCCGAGGTGGTCGCCCCTTCGCTGTCAAGCGCCGCGAATCCCGGCCAGTGGTGCGTTCGCGGTCGTTTCGGCCCGCCGCCGCTGCGGCCGCGGATTCCGAGCTGTCTCTCTCGCACCCTGACGGGACGGCCCGTGAGTGCGAGAGAGACAGAGCGACGGAACGATCCCGCTGTCCCCGCCACACACGCGTCGCTGATAAATTGAGGCGATAGCGGGCCGGGCCAATAGGCTGAGCACCGCGGTGGGCGCGGGCCGTGCCATTAGGGCTCGCACCTTGCGCGGGCTGCTTTGGCCACCGTGCCCCCCCCCCCCCCCACGTCTCTCTCCCTCTCTCTCTCTCTCCTGTTGTTGGCGCCATTGCAACACTAGACGCGCCGTGATGGCCGGAAGGGTGGCAGCAGTTCGTTGCCTGCCAATGGCGCCAGTGGCCCACTCGCTGAGATTCTGCATTTTTTTTAATTTTTTTTTTTTGGGCCTTTCTGGTTTGCAGAGGCATTGCTGTGGTTTGCACGGACCGACTGCTGTAGTTCTAGAACAGTTCCAGGACTCTAGGTAGGACGGCGTACGCTGTTGCGGTGTACTACCAAACACTCCGCAAACCAAAAACATAATTAAAAACTGAAAAAAAGACTACTGCTTCATCGGTGGCCGGCGGCAACATTCTTCGTCTTTTTTTTCGGCAGTGTGGCTCGTCACCGTAATAGCGAGGAATTAATCAGCAAAGTCAAACACAAAAGCGAAGGACAGGGGGGCCGCTCAAATAGGGGGCAGCGAAAAAGTGGGATGGGGGGATGGGGGGGGGGGCCTTCGCGCCTTCATGAACCCTCTCCTATCGCTCGGCGGGGGCACGCGCGACACAGTCTGCCGCAATGGACACCGGTTCGACTATCACCGATACCATCGTGTGGTTTATTTCGCTGCCGGTCTTTGTAGCGAGGATAATAAAAAAACGAAACGACAAAAGGGGAGCTTATGTGTATGAAGGGGAAAGGGGGGGCGACGAGGATGATCGCTGCGCGGGGGGTCGTTTGGGGGCGGCTTCGTGTGTGTCTGTGTGTGTGTGTGTGACTGCGTGTCTGTGTGTGTGTAGTAGTAGAAGAGAGGGTAAGAAGAGGGTCGAAGCATTGATTGAGGTGACGTCGCTGCGTGTCAATGTCAGGATGACGCTACATGGCGTGACGGACCGCACCGCGTCGTCAAAAACGGCGAAACGTGACGAGCGGCGAAAAACGTGACGAGCAATGTGACGAGCAAACGTGACGACGTGACGGCCGAGCGAACGTGGTGACGGCGGTGCGATGGGATCGATGTGCAAAGTCGATGTGGCAACGCGATGTCACCGCGGCTTCTGTTTGCGCGGCAAGGCTCATGGGAGATCGCGACGTCACACGGACGACACTTCAAAAAAATGATCATGTTATCTTCTTTACAAAAAAAAAATTATTTTTTAATATAATTTTTTTCTTTATAAAAACTTACATTTTTTTGCACTATAGAAACTAGTGTAGAAAGAGCTTTTTTTCCCACTCCTCGGTGCAAGGCTTGCCGAGTATTTGTGTTTCCCCCGTCGGTTCGTAATGGTCTTGTTTGCAGCCAGGGCCCGACCGCCACGCCGACAGCTGGGTGGGCCTCGGCCTTCGGTTCGGCAGGCCTTCGGTGCCTTCGGGCACGGCTAAGTGATTGGAAGCCGATTCGGCCTGCCGGACAGACAGCTTTGCGCGCGCTTTGGAACATTCTGTTATTGTTCGGCTGCCTCGGTACGCAGCCAGAAAACTTTTTTAGCAGATGATACCTTTACTCAGAAACATACCTAAAACTACAACTAAAAGACACATAAAGGTGTCAGCTAGCTTTTACTCGAGAGTCCAAAAACCAAGTGCGTATCCTAACAATATAATAGGGGCTGGCTGCCGGGGCGGGCTGGTGCGTCTGTGCCTGCGGCGCAGCCTGCGCGGAATTCGACAATGGCACCCCTCCTCGCGCGCGACGGCCTGGGCGCAACATTCACAATCCCTCCCCGCTACAGCGCACAAAGGACTCAGCTTTTAAATACTATCTTTGGAATGAACCCATACTACACCGTAGAAGAAAACCAAACGAGTATCATCTGCTTTCATTAACGTTCGTTGAATGAGATTTTTTTAAAAAAATAACCATTTTCTTTCCCTCTCTTCTTGTTCCCTGACTGATGCCGATGACGAGTGCGTGCGGTCGAACATTTTTCATTAACTTATAAAAAAAGTGCGTGTGCTTGTGGTGAGTGATCGTTTCCACTGCGGGAGTGTTCCCTTTCGCGTCCTTACCTTGAGCTCGCGTGGGACTTCGAGTGAGACTTCCCCCACCCTCTTTCTTTTCCCCGGCCCGTGACTCGCCGTGCTTTGCCTCCGGGGTGCCCCTGCCTGCCGTGGCACTGGACGGACGCGCCTGGACTCACTGCCGCCTCCCCCCTGCCCCCTCCACTTACCCCCGGGCCCCCGGGCCCCCGCCACGGCGCGGCCAGGACACGGCCACGGCCGCGTCAAGAATTTATGAACCAAACGGTTTGACTGCAGCCTTGCACCCCGAGCTGACTTAGACCTTGAGGGGGGCGTGGCGGGGGGCGTGCTGGACGTCGAGGCCCGTGTCTGTGTGAGTGTGTGTGAGTGTGTGTGTGCGCGCGTGTGTGGGCGTGTGCCGACGACTCCACTCACGCCCCCCGAGTCCCTGCCCTATTCTGGTATATGCATACGTCAGAGCCGTCAGGGCGTCGGACTGCCCACAGTCCGTCTGGGGCGTCGGCGTCACGGCGGCGTCACGGCGCCGACTTGGAGGGCGGGTCAACGGCCTAATTTAGACCGAAGACCGGACTTTAAATGAACCATGCACCCACGTGTGCTGGCGCCGCCATCGCCACGTGATCAGACCGCAACAAGTCACGAAAATAAATGCTTTTTTTTGTGGAAATGGGCGTAACCCACTATTGATTTTATAGCAAAGGTGTTTCGGGACGAGCGTTTTTTTTTCGCAGTGTCGCCGCAAAGCCCGTCGTTGGCCAGTGCTCAAGGGCACAATTAGGTAGACCACAAGGGCGTGCTCGGCGTGCAGGAGTCCGAAAGGCGCGCACTGTCCACAAGGAGTACGTATCGACCCGTGCATGGCACCGGGGCACCGTGGCGCCAGCAGGGCCGCGACAGCTGCGTCGCCCGGCGTGTCACACACCGTCAGGGTGCAGCGGTGACGCAAGCGGTGACATTGTGACGTCACCGGTCATCCAGGGGTTGCGCAGTCGAGGCTTCGAAATGTTTGCCGTGCGATGATAAGCGGAATCAAAATACCACTGTGACCTAGTTGAAACTAATTTCGGTTTTCCTGGAAGCACTCTGCAGGGGACAGGCTGTGCTGTTTTGCCTTAGTGAAGGCGGTCTCGCGCTCCCCCGCCCCTAAAAAAACGTTGTCAAAAGTGACAAAAGACTCGGTCGGTTCGACGCGTGTCGCCCGCCGGAAGTGGGTGCCGGAAGACCAGAAGTGGCGCGGTTCGGCCGGAACGACGGAGCGACCGTGTCGGCATTAACCCTCGCGAAAATGGTGGCCAAAACTCTAGACCAGTGGTTCTCAACCTCAACCTCGCGACCCCAAGTGGGGTCGCGAAAAAATTTTAAGGGGTCGCGGTGAGGTAGCTGGGGTCGTGTTTTGGGCCGATTTTAAGCAGCCACTGCGTCTGATCTGAGGCGGGCATTTTGCTCCCTCAACGGGCAATTGGTCTTTGGACCTTCCTTTTGCATGGCTTTGTTACGGAGTGTGATTATCAGTCTTAGTTTGGGAGCAGTATTGTCTCAAAGTTGGCCGAAACGCTCAGAAATGTCTTTGAAAAACCGTTGTGACTGTTTTGGTCAACTTTGAGACGATACTGCTCCCAAACTAAGACTGATAATCGCATTCCGTAACAGAGGCATGCTAAAGGAAGATCCAAAGAACAATTGCCCGTTGAGGGAGCAAAATGCTCGGCTCGGATCAGACGCAGTGGCTGCTTAAAATCGACCCAAAACATGATTTTTCAAAGACATTTCTGAGCGTTTTGGCCAACTTTGAGACAATACTGCCCCCAAACTAAGACTGATAATCGCACTCCGTAACAGAGGCATGCTAAAGGAAAGTCCAAAGACCAATTGCCCGTTGAGGGAGCAAAATGCCCGCCTCGGATCAGACGCAGTGGCATGCTAAAGGAGGGGTCCCGTGGGGTCGCGAAACTTTTCCTGGGGGTCGCGGAAATTTTTGGCTACAAATTTGGGGTCGCGAGCCGAGAAAGGTTGAGAACCGCTGCTCTAAGTGGACCACGACCTCTTGAAACGAAACTTCACACCCCGTGCACGTCAGCAGCCAGACAGACAGATACGTGGGTGATTTGACTATCTTGTTTCAAGATAAGGGTACTTCACCCCTTCGAAGTATTCCATCTGGTAGGTCGAAGGCGCTTGGAACATGTGTTATCTTGTTCCAAGACAATGTGTATTTCCCTTGTAACTCTGTTACGTGCTGTACAGGGACGGCAAAACAGCTCTTGGGAATTCGTCCACATTCCTTCGGGTTCTAGGAAAATTTCCTGGGAACCGATTCCAGGATTTACCTTGGGACGCCTGGCAGCGGCAGCGTGCTGCTCGCCTGCGAGATAGGCAACTCGGCGCATGGGAGTCACCGCATTGCCTACCCTCGACTTCACAGGGGCTTCCAGACACTTTTTATTTTTATTCCTTCCTAAACCCACCAATCAAAAAATTCAAAGATATGTTTTTAAAAGATACAGTTAAAATCGAGTACGCTTGGTATGCTTTCTTTTTTTCTGAGTGCCGTCGGAGAGGCAGCTATATCCAGGTTTGCCAATAACGATGTCGAGTGCGGCAGTGCGGCCATAGACTCGCGAAAATGGAGCCGAAGAGCGACGCGGTATGGCGCGGTGCGAAGACGGCGCCTTTGTGTGCAGCTGTGCGCTGCCCTTCCCGCCCTTTCCTTCCCGCCCTTTCCTTCCCGCCTTTTCCTTCCCGCCTTTTGCCTTCCCGCCCTTTCCTGCCCTTCCGCAAGGCGGTGCCTCGATACCTCGGCGTTGCCTTGGCGTTGCCCGTCATCCAGACAAATGGGTTGAGCCCTCGGCCTTGCGTCTCATTCACACCGACACGTCCCCTATGGGAACGGAGTGCACGCAGGCGCATAGTGAGCCGAATCTGGAGAGAGATAGTGACGAGGAAATAATTTCTGTTCGTCGGCGCCACGTCTATTTACGGAAAAACGATGAGTAAGCTTCCTACGTGAGTCGATTTTTTTCACCTCTTGAACTAAGTCAGCGGTTCTCAACCTTTCTCGGCTCGCGACCCCAAATTTGTAGCCAAAAATTTCCGCGACCCCCAGGAAAAGTTTCGCGACCCCACGGGACCCCTCCTTTAGCATGCCACTGCGTCTGATCCGAGGCGGGCATTTTGCTCCCTCAACGGGCAATTGGTCTTTGGACCTTCCTTTAGCATGCCTCTGTTACGGAGTGCGATTATCAGTCTTAGTTTGGGAGCAGTATTGTCTCAAAGTTGGCCAAAACGCTCAGAAATGTCTTAAAAAATCATGTTTTGGGTCGATTTTAAGCAGCCACTGCGTCTGATCCGAGGCGGGCATTTTGCTCCCTCAACGGGCAATTGTTCTTTGGATCTTCCTTTAGCATGCCTCTGTTACGGAATGCGATTATCAGTCTTAGTTTGGGAGCAGTATTGTCTCAAAGTTGACCAAAACAGTCACAACGATTTTTCAAAGACATTTCTGAGCGTTTCGGCCAACTTTGAGACAATACTGCTCCCAAACTAAGACTGATAATCACACTCCGTAACAAAGGCATGCTAAAAGAAGGTCCAAAGACCAATTGCCCGTTGAAGGAGGACGAAATACCGCCTCGGGTCAGACGCAGTGGCTGCTTAAAATAGGCCCAAAACACGATTTTTCAAAGACATTTCTGACCGTTTTGGTAAACTTTGAGACAATACTGCTCCCAAACTAAGACTGATAATCACACTCCGTAACAAAGGCATGCTAAAGGAAGGTTCAAAGACCAATTGCCGGTTGAGGGAGCAAAATGCCCGCCTCGGATCAGACGCAGTGGCTGCTTAAAATCGGCCCAAAACACGACCCCAGCTACCTCGCCGCGACCCCTTAAAATTTTTTCGCGACCCCACTTGGGGTCGCGACCCTAAGGTTGAGAACCACTGAACTAAGTGCTACGCATGAGAGCAAAAATTAAATATTATTTTTCAGTGTGGAATTTTTACCGTTTTTGACTACTGCTGACGGAGCGTAGAGGGAGGGGCAGAGGGTGCGTTGGGACGCTTTGGCTAATGCGTTTGTAATTGACCGCTTACCGCCGTTCTGCCGCCGTTCGCCCGTTTAGTGGGTCGAGGTCGAGGGACTTGGGGGATGTCGAGGGGGTGGGGGAGGACCCGCTCTGGGTGTGCCTTTTTTGGCTAACCACGCAATGTCAAAGTTTTTGATTGAGGTCTGGAGCGTGACTTTGCTTTGCTTGCAGCCGGTCCGGCGGCTCGCTGTCGGACAGCCCCGAGGATGCGGCCCGGCCCGCGCCGCCCGCGCCCAGCGGCGAGGACAACATCAACGTGGTGGTGCGGGTGCGGCCGCTCAGCCAGAAGGAGAGCAAGGCCAAGGACAACTTCGTGGTGCAGTTCCCGGGCAACGGGCAGCTCCTGGTGAGTCGTCCAGTCCGCCGTTGAATGACCTCCCTTCGCGCCACGTGGCGCCTCACGAATATTTCAGGCGTCACTACGACTCGTACTACGATTGATGTGCCGTCCGTCCGCCCCACTGCGAGACCGCCCGAGACTCCGAGGCGGCGGCCCTGCGGTCGGCCAGCAGACCGATTCCGAGAGTCGCTCTGTCTCTCTCGCACTCATGGGGCGTTCTCATGGGTGCGAGAGAGACAGAGCGACGAAGAGGACTCTCGGATCTGTCGGCCAGTGGCGTGGCGTGCGTAGGTCGCGAGCCCCGCTGAACGGGGAATCGGCCGACTAGTCGTTTGCGGTGTGGGGTCGAGGAACCCCTCCACGCATAGTATCACTTTGGCGGGGCGTGGGGTGGGCGTACTATGAAAATGACATTTTTTCCTTTTGTAAAATAAATTACATATATCCGCAAGTTTTCTTTTTATTGAAAAAATAAATAAATTTGTATATGATGCAATTTTTTTTTAAATTTGGTGGAAAGGACTTGACCTTTACATGGTGGGGGTTAACTGGAACTGTCTTCCTGCACCTGTTGCAGCTGGAAGGCGGTCCCGTGCCGGCCGGCGGTTCGAGCCCCGGCGCCGGCAATGCCAGCAAGTCGCGCCTCTTCTCGTTCAACGCCGTGTTCGAGCCCGGCGCCACCCAGGAGGACCTGCTCAACTACTCCGGGGTGCGGCGCCTCATCAGCATGGCCGTGGAGGGCTTCAGCTGCACCGTCTTCTGCTACGGCCAGACGGGCAGCGGCAAGACCCACACCCTCACGGGGCCGCCGGGGCTGGTGGGTGTTCACTTCATTTCGGTTCCGTTTCGCGAGGCGGCGGCTGTTTGATTTGCTTTTGAACTCGGTTCACCTCCCCCCTCTCCATTCCCCTTTCTCCTCCGAGCATTTCACGGCCAATGTCGCGCCGAGCCGCGACGTCAGCAAATCAATGCTGCGCTGCGCCGCTGTCCTCGTGGGGAATTATGTAAAGCATTGATTGACGATCCGACCCAGCCGGGCTAGCCGAGCCATGCTCAGCCTTCTGCCCCCACAAAGGTCAGGGCGTCAGCGCGTCTCAGGGGCACACACGTCCGTCCGCCTGTCCGTCTGTCTGTCCGTCCGCCTGTCTGTCTGTCTGTCTGTCCCATGTCCTCTCCCCACTCGAAGGAGTCCGCTGTGGTGTCGCGAAGTTGTGGTTTTCATAAACAACATCTTTTTCGAAACCAAAAGGAGACCAGTTAGCTGGCCAAAAGCTGCTCACACTGCTGTTCAATTTTTGTTTATTTTTTTATTTTTGGTGTGGGTACACACGAGGAACTTGAACTGATGCAAAGACGGCACGAATTCGAGTCCGCCGCGTCGCCGGACACAATGAGCCGCTATCTGTGGAAATGGCGGGAAATGGTGCGCCGGCGTGCCGCGGCGTGCCAACCCACGCCGATCGAAGACCGGACCGCCCTTCCCTGTCGGCTCACGCAATGGGCGCGATTCATCCTCGCCATGCCGGCCCGGCCAATCCTGATGACTGATTCCGGGAGTCGTTTTCGTCGCTCCGTCTCCCTCGCACCTGCACGGGACGGGGCGGGGCGGGGTGCGAGAGGGACAGAGCGAGCGCTCTATTTCGGGGTTGGCACCACCGCGTCAACGACGCGCGGGAACCGCGCCGCGTCAAGGTCACTGGGAAATTAGGCGGGCTGATGACGAGGCCTGCACTATAATTTCCAGTGATAACAGCGTATAGCCATGACGTCACCCGGTTGCAGTTTGACGGCACGGTGGACCCCCAGTCGCCGGACCACGGGCTGGTGTGCCGCTCCTTCCGGTTCCTCTTCGAGCAGCTCAGCGAGCGCGGCGACTTCCACTTCGTGCTCAAGGCCTCCTTCCTCGAGATCTACAACGAGAAGGTGATCGACCTGCTGAACCCGGGCTCGGCGCGCAAGCCGCTGGCCGTGCGCTGGTCCAAGAAGAGCCGCGGCTTCTTCGTCGAGAACCTCTTCACCGTGGACTGCGAGACGCTGGACGACCTGCTGGCCGTGCTGGAGGAGGGTGAGCAGTGTTGCCACTTACGGCTTTACGGTGTTATGTTGGTATTGACAAGGTGCATTTTCTCCCAGGGATGCGCAACCGGTCGATGGGGAGTCACGGCATGAACGACCACTCCAGCCGCAGCCACACGATCCTCACGGTGCACATCGCCGCCGAGAGACAGGTGGGCCCCGCGCCAGCAAACCGCTCACCATCCCCTCGGTCGCGCAGTAAAGGCCTGGCTTTCCTCTCCCAGGTGTCCGAGAACGGCGTGTTCATCTCGCGGCAGGGGAAGCTCAACTTCGTGGACCTCGCCGGCAGCGAGATGACCAAGAAGACGCACAGCGAGGGGAAGACGCTCGAGGAGGCCAACAACATCAACAAGAGCCTCATGGTGTTGGGTGAGTCGCGTTGCGTGACTGTACTGAAATCTAAGCTAGCGAAAGCTAACGGAAACTGTTCGGTCGTTTTCAGGGTACTGCATAGCCTCCCTCAGCGACCCCCGCAAGAAGGAGAAGGGGCACATCCCGTACAGGGACTCCAAGCTCACCAAGCTGCTGGCCGACAGCCTCGCCGGCAACGGCGTCACGCTCATGGTGCGTACAGTCACGCAACAGAAATCTCCTCGTCGATACCCCGCGCGCAGGGGATCGCCCGTGCGGCCGGCGTTGAAAGTCCCCTACGCACGGAGTATCGAAGCCTCACTAGGTTGGTCATTGACCGGCCGCGGCGGGCAGAGAGTGGCAAAAACCCACAGAAGCTACACTCATGAGTGGCGACTACTTGAAATTCGGTTTCGTCATGCTCGTTCTGATTGGCTGCAGATTGCGTGCATCTCCCCGGCCAAGTCCAACATCAGCGAGTCGCTCAACACGCTGCGGTACGCCGCCCGGGCCAAGAAGATCCGCACCAAGCCCGTTATCATGATGGTAAGAAAAGGCTTTTGTTTTTTGTTGACGGTAGTCGGTCGCAGATTGGCAAAGACTTTTTCCAAGAGTCACATGACACACGGTCGGTCAACGTTCTGGTGTGGACGTGGAGAGCAGTGGCTTCGCCGAATGCCCTAGCCAAGTGCTGGCGGACTCAAACAATCGCTCGTGAACAACGCGGTGTGTGTAAACAGGCGCCGGTCGATTCGGCCGACTGACGCGACGCACCTGGGCCGCGACCGCCGCGACGTACTTAGCGCATTAGTCGACATTAGTCGCCGAGCCTGGTGGGAATGTTCGATAACGAAATGGGCCGACCGTGATTATCGATTAGTCGAATGGCGCTACCAGGGCTCGTTAGCCTACCGCACGTGGGTGGGAATTGGGGTACCTCGGTCACAGACGATACGGAAATAAAGGTCTGCCTCGTTCAATCGAAACGAGACTAATTACTATGAGGCCTCAACTGTTTGGCCATCTTTGTTGAGCAAGCAGAGTGTTTGACCATGCTTGCCCGGCGTGCCGCAGGACCCCCGCGAGGCGCTGATCCTGAGCCTGAAGCGGGAGGTGGCTGCGCTGCAGAGCGAGAACGACCACCTGCGGTCGGCCATTCGCATCAACGGCGAACACTTCGGCACCAACGGCAGCGCCGAGGTGGCCCGGCCCAGCGGTCAGTGCCTCACACACACCCACAACTTGAAAACAAAATGCCCGCGCTGTGTTGAAAGGGTTGCCAACCTCAGTCTGCCTACCAGGCAATGTCTAGTAAGCAGGGTGAGGTTGGCAACACCCTCGACATGGGTGCCTTTCTCATAAGACACTGAAAATATGTTTTTGGCTTTGGTTGGAGACCCAATACATTTGCCGTCTGGAAAAGGACACATTTCAGTGTTTAAAAATAAGAAAGAACATTGATGTCCTAGGCTCCCCGCCCACCGTGGACCTGGAGCGCCTGGCCGAGCTGGAGGCCAACGAGCTGGCGGGGCTGGTGCAGCACTACATGCTGGAGAACGAGGCGCTGCGCAGGGAGAACTCGGACTTGTTCAGCACCAGGGACATCCTGATGCGCGACCAGGACCTGGTGTGCCGCGAGAACGAACGACTGCTCAAGAAGCTGGAGGACGTCAACTCGTGAGTGTCGCACCTAACCTCACCTAACCGTGCTGCGTGTGTTGTTTTGTGGCGGACTGTATTGACCGGACTGGTCGGCCTCTGCCCACAGGGTGTGCTGCCGTTCGCCCATCATCCCCGCCAGGCCCACCTTCTCCGGCGAGCTGCTCAACCTGTCGCTGGGCGGCTCGGACGGCGCGGCCGCCATGCCCTCGGGGATGCCGCCCCACGACCTCATGGCCAGCTCCACCAACGTGTGGGTGCACCCGCTCAACGGCAGCAACTACAGCGCCGCCAGCACCACCGCCCTGGCAGGACCCAAGTTCAAGGTAGTTTAATGTGACATTGAGAAAAGGAAACAGATATTTTGTCAATGGACTAAAGAGGCCTTCAAAACAGGGCAGAAAGAGTTAGAGAAAATTCCGTTTTTAATTACTGTAATATAAAATTGAGATGGGAAAAGACGATTTTGGCACTTTGCTGATTTCAGGCGGAGATCCTGGAGGGAAGGCATTCGGCCAAGCCACCCCACAGGCTGCCGGACTCCATCCAGAAGGAACTGGACAAGCGCAGGATCGGCAAAAGGTGGGACGGACGGACGGAAAAACATTGAAAAGGAATCGCCCCGGCCCGGCAGGAGCAGCCCTGAGAATGTCTCACCCCATTTCCAGCATGACCAACATTGCCGAGTCGTACCGGGACCGCAGCCACCAGCGCCACAACTCGTGGGACAGCTCCAAGGGCGCGGCGGCCTCCAACGGCGGCCCCGGCGACGGCCAAGGACTGCCCCAGACGCCGCCGCCCGCGCCGCCCGCGCCCCAGGCCGTGCTGGGCTGAGGCCGAGGCCGACTCCACCCTGGAGGAGCCCGGCGCAGACTGTGGCCCCGCACTGCATCCCCGCCGGCCGAGCCGCCGGCCGCCTGCTCAAGTGCAGGTGCTCGAGGACGCGTTGCACTCGCGTATGCGTGACGAAGCAGTGGTTCGGCTGGCCCGACACGCGATGCGCGAGCAGGCGCGAGCACCGCCACCCTGCGTGACAGACTGATGCGCAGACAATTATAGATAAGGACGAAACGGGTGATATTAAGTATGGCAAAAGTATTCGGCCCTAACCGTGGTGTCTTCCTGGACACGTTGCAAGTGTTTTGATTGGTTTTGATTTACCCCGCTTCTGTTAACGTAGACGAAGCGAGGCCCTCGACTTATGTGAAAACTTTACTCGCAGGCGCTGCGAGAGTGTTTAGATTGGCGTCGCGCGTCGGCTCGCCCTGATATGACTTGCAGAAGGACCCGGCAAAACACTCCTGCCCGTTTTGCAACAAAAGAAAACCATTTTTAACACGAGGAGACTATCAATATCTTGCGGCGGCGTTAGTAAAGTTTACCCATAGAATACTTTTTACAAAATTCTCACTTAACTACACTTTGTAAATTTTTATCTGTGTGGAAAATATGAACGAATTTTTATTCTTTGTAGTGTTTGTGAAGGGACCAAATAATTCTGTGGGTACTTCTCACTTAATGGAAACAGTGCTGGCATACCAAAGATGGTATGATATGTTTGTTTTTTAATATTATTAAGAATCGATTAATAAAAACTAGAAGAGTCAAAATTTGTTTGCTTTATCCAAATAGATTACGTCACAAACACGAACTCAAAAGTTGCCAGTAATCCAAACAACGCAAAATTCTATTGAATAGTCATACCCCAAAAATGGCCCTTTAGATTAGGGTCCGACCGACGATCGTTTCATCATGATGACGAAGAAAAAATTACTCAAACATCACTTTTCAAGGAACACTTCAGCGAAACAAATGAAAGATTACGAGACCAAGGTATAAAAGAGCCCAGACGCACTGCCAGAGCAGCATTCAGCTCCCCTGGATAGGTGAGTAGTACCTGCACTGTCTGGTCTGCCCAGCCGGCACCCCGCAGCGTACATTCGTACATTGGAGCGCCCGACCGCCCGCCTAACGCAGTGTTGCCCTCTCCGTTTCAGCATCATGAAGTTCCTCATCGTCCTCGCTGCCTTCGTGGCAGTGGCCACTTGCTGGTCCATCCCCTCCGAGGATGAGCTCGCCAACCACTGGCAGAAGTTCAAGGCCGAGCACGGCAAGACCTACGCCAACGAGGTCGAGGAGACCCACCGCATGAAGATCTTCAAGGAGAACGCCATCAAGGTCGCCAAGCACAACGCTCGCTTCGACGCCGGTGAGGTCACCTTCACCGTCGCCATCAACAAGCACGCTGACCTCCTCACCCACGAGGTTGTTGAGAGGCTCAACGGCTACCGTTCCCCCGTGAACAAGCCCGTCCGCGCCCTCCACAACGTGTCCGAGCCCGACCCCGAGCCCTTCCCCTGGCCCTGGAACAAGAGCGTCGACTGGAGGAAGAAGGGATACGTCACCGACATCAAGGACCAGGGCCAGTGCGGCTCCTGCTGGGCTTTCTCCACCGTGAGTAACACAATTTGAACGCTTTGAACGGCGGTTCGCCCCGGACCAACAAGGCTCTCTAACGCCATCCCTCCTTTGCTCTCCAGACCGGCTCCCTCGAGGGTGCTCTCTTCAAGAAGAACAAGAAGCTCGTCTCCCTCTCCGAGCAGAACCTGGTCGACTGCTCCACCGAGAACGACGGTTGCGACGGTGGTCTGATGGACTACGCCTTCGCTTACATCAAGAGCAACGGCGGTATCGACACCGAGGACTCCTACCCCTACACCGGTGTGGACGGTTCCTGCAGCTACTCCAAGGACAACAACGCCGGCACTCTGTCCAGCTTCGTCGACATCAAGCAGTTCTCTGAGAGCGACCTCCAGGACGCCGTCAAGAAGGTCGGCCCCGTGTCCGTCGCCATCGACGCCAGCAACTGGTCCTTCCAGATGTACAGCAGCGGCATCTACTACGAGCCCGAGTGCTCTAGCACCTCCCTCGACCACGGTGTCCTCGCCGTCGGTTACGGCAGCGACGGCCGCAACAAGGACTACTGGATCGTCAAGAACTCCTGGGGCACCTCCTGGGGTGAGAAGGGTTACATCAGGATGGCCCGCAACAAGAAGAACAACTGTGGTATCGCCTCCGAGGCTAGCTACCCCAAGGTCTAAGCACCTGGGTCATTGTTCTGAAAGTGCAATTTGATTGAAGAAAAACCAAATAAAATCTAGGTTTTCAACGAATAATAATCAGTTGACTGCTTTTTATCCTTTGCGCCCCTTCCCGAACCGCAAACACTTTGAATATAGTTTGAAAAGTAAGTGCTCGGTTGCCTGACTTGTCACTGTAGTGCGCTGTATCCCACCTCGCAGTCGGGATGAAATCAACACGGGGAAATGCGAATTGTGAGCTATAAGATGTTTTTTATTGACTGATCACAGAGGCCGTAGGTGTGGGCACGGCTTCAGCTTGACGGCTTACAGGAAGGCGCGCACGTCGTCGTCCTCGCGGAGGATCTCCTCGTCCATGAGCCTGTGGCTGGGGACGTGCTTGTGGCCGGCCTGGGCGTATACGGCGTCGAAGTCGTTGACGTTCTTCTTGAAGACGACGGAGTCGGCGCTGGAGTCCTTGTGGAAGATGACGACGTCCTTGAAGTACATGTTGGGCATGTAGAAGCGGCCGAAGTTGTCGATCTGGCGGTCGAAGGGGAAGCCGAGGGGGCGGTTGTCGACGACGGTCATGAGTCCGTTGCAGGCGTAGATGTCCTTGACGGCGGCCTGGTAGTTGACCTTCTCGGAGTGGTAGTAGTCGGCGTGGTCGTGCTCGTCGGCGCCGTGGGGGGTGACCATGACGAAGAGGGAGTAGGGGATGCCGGCCTTGTGGCCCATGGGCAGGACGAGGCGGTCGGGGAATCCGCACTGCTGGTCGACGGTGCTGAGGACGGTGTTGCCGCTCTCGGCGCTCTTGAGCAGGGACTTGAAGGAGACGTTGTCGCCGACGGTGGAGGTGAACTCGCGGGAGTTGCGCTCGATCAGGTTGTCGCCGTTCTTCACTGCAAGGCACACAGGCATCCGTCAGTCGTGTCGATCGAATTTCAGTCGGGGAAAACAACAAGCAATAACGAAAACCAGTGTACTTACGTTCAACGGGGAAACGGTCCAGCTCGACGAAGTAGTTGCGGAGCCTGTCGAGGTCGGCGGTGTCGTGTCCGTAGTAGACGTCGGAGGCCTGCTCGCCGTAGAAGTTGGAGTGGGTGAGCTCGGTGCTGGGGCCGAGGAAGACGCGGACGACGGCGCTGGTCTTCTTGTCGCTGGCGACCTTGATCTTGTAGCTGAAGGGCTGGTGGTTGAGACGCATGGTCTTGGCGACGTAGTTGAGCTTGTCCAGCTCGTCGATGGTGGCGACGTCGACGGCGTTGGTTACGTCAATGTCGAAGAGGTCGAAGTAGGTGACGAGCTTGTCGACGGCGACGTCCTTGACGGCCACGCCGGAGAAGATGAGGTCGTCGGGCTTGTAGGAGGGCAGGTTGTTCTGGTACTGCTGGAAGAGACCGAGCACGTACTTCTGGAGGATGTAGAAGGCGGGGTCGCGGAGGGCGGTCTCGTAGTGGCCGATGACGCCGGGGGCGACGCCGTGCTCCTGGCTGGGGTCCATGATGAGGGCGAGCAGGTTGCGGATCATGGTCTGGTAGGAGCCGTAGTAGCGGGAGTTGACGGAGTCCTGGTTGCCCTCGATGATGTTGCCGAGGATGTTGATGCCCTTGACGTACTGAGTGATGGGGATCTTGTTGCCGTCCTTGCCGAGCACGAAGCCGGAGTCGATGGCGTCCTTGATCCTCTGCTCGATGGCCTTGATGTCCTGGACGGAGTAAGACTGGATGCTGGAGACGTCCTGCTGGTCGGCGCGGACGGGGAAGTGGGCGCCGTTGGGGTAGAGCAGGTCGGGGTTGTAGCCGGTCTTGATGGTCTCCTCCCAGTCGAAGTCCTCGAGCTCGGGCAGGTAGTTGGCCATGCGCTGCAGGTTGTAGCGGGCGAGGATCTGCTGGTAGTAGTAGTAGAAGGACTCGCCGCGGATCTGGCAGGTGGTGATGCTGTACTTCTCGCAGTTGAGCCAGAAGGGCATGTACAGGTGAGCGTAGGCGTGGTAGGCGTTGACGCCGACGTCCTCGGTGAAGTAGCCCAGGAGCTGCTCGGGGTTGGCGATCTCGTAGCCGGCGGTCCAGTTGGTCATCTTGACGTAGTTGATCTGGCCCTGCATCTTGGCGCTGACGAAGTCCATGATGTCACCGGAGTGGAGGTACAGCTGGGGGGCGACCTCGTACAGGGGAGGGAGCACCAGACCGGCGCAGTCGTCGCGGTGCACGACGGCCACGGAGAAGGCGTAGGCGAACTGGCTCTCGTTGACGTTGTCGCGGGCCCAGGCGGCGGTCTTGATGAAGGTGTCAAAGTCCTTGGCGAAGTACAGCATGTCGAACAGAGCGACCACCTCCTTCAGGTGGGAGTCGTTGTACACGTGGAAGATCTCGCCGCGGGGAAGAGTACCCTGCTTCCACATGGACACGAAGTTCTTGACGGCCCACTGGTTGGCGTAGCGGTCGATCATCTGTTCGGGGTTCCAGCTCTTGCCAAGGGCCAGCAGCTCGGGGTACATGTTCTTCTGGCCGACGTTCCTCAGCAGCTGCAGCACCAGCTTCTGCCTCTGCGCGACATCCTGCCCGCCTGCAAGCACAGCGACATTAAATCCGTGGCTCTGGCCAGCCGCCGCGGGCTCGCTCCCATCCTGCGTAGCGTACTTACTGATGTGGGCGTTGTCGGTGGCGCCGGTGCGCACGTTGGGGATGTGCAGGGCGGCGGCCACCGCCAGGGTGGCGAGGAGGGCGACGGTTACCTTGTACATGGCGGACGGTGGACCGGGACTGGTGCCTTCTCGGACCGAATCTCACCATTTTATACCATACCGGCCGTGTGAACTGGTTGCCGGCTAGTGATAACTGTATCACGCCGCCCGGGTACAGCAGTACAGGGCATTACCGATTTACGCCCCGTTGCCGGGCGTTAAGCTTGTAAACCGATTGATTGAATCGAGTGAATCTGAGTACAGCCTGAGCGGCGCCACATGGCAACAGGGAGGCAAACCAGCATCTCAGTCAAATTTACTACCATTGATGCTCTGCCCACCGATCCCGGCAGTCAGCTCTGATGTTTAAAACTACTGGCTGTTCTGGACCCAATCTGGATCTCGGCCTCCTAGTTATGCACTCAGCGAGCGGTGTGCTAGTGTTCCCCAGCTAATGACTTTAGCCATCTAGCTAAAAAAAATGGCTAGGCCTACACACCTTTATGAATTGGCACTGGTGCCAAATTTTAAGCTCTCGTGAGATTTTTAATTTTGCGTGTGAACCCTGCCCACTGCCCAGCAACGAGGCGAAAATCAGTAAGCGGCTGAACTCCGGCTGTACTCCCGTACCCGGCCGGTGTGATACAGTTATCACTAGCCGCCGACCAGTTCAGAAGACCGGCTTACAATGGTACGGGTTGGAAAGGCGTTCAAAAGGGTAGGAATAGAGAAGACTGATGTACTTTTTTGTCAAAAACCTAGATTTTATTTGGTTTTTCTTCAATCAAATTGCACTTTCAGAACAATGACCCAGGTGCTTAGACCTTGGGGTAGCTAGCCTCGGAGGCGATACCACAGTTGTTCTTCTTGTTGCGGGCCATCCTGATGTAACCCTTCTCACCCCAGGAGGTGCCCCAGGAGTTCTTGACGATCCAGTAGTCCTTGTTGCGGCCGTCGCTGCCGTAACCGACGGCGAGGACACCGTGGTCGAGGGAGGTGCTAGAGCACTCGGGCTCGTAGTAGATGCCGCTGCTGTACATCTGGAAGGACCAGTTGCTGGCGTCGATGGCGACGGACACGGGGCCGACCTTCTTGACGGCGTCCTGGAGGTCGCTCTCAGAGAACTGCTTGATGTCGACGAAGCTGGACAGAGTGCCGGCGTTGTTGTCCTTGGAGTAGCTGCAGGAACCGTCCACACCGGTGTAGGGGTAGGAGTCCTCGGTGTCGATACCGCCGTTGCTCTTGATGTAAGCGAAGGCGTAGTCCATCAGACCACCGTCGCAACCGTCGTTCTCGGTGGAGCAGTCGACCAGGTTCTGCTCGGAGAGGGAGACGAGCTTCTTGTTCTTCTTGAAGAGAGCACCCTCGAGGGAGCCGGTCTGGAGAGCAAAGGAGGGATGGCGTTAGAGAGCCTTGTTGGTCCGGGGCGAACCGCCGTTCAAAGCGTTCAAATTGTGTTACTCACGGTGGAGAAAGCCCAGCAGGAGCCGCACTGGCCCTGGTCCTTGATGTCGGTGACGTATCCCTTCTTCCTCCAGTCGACGCTCTTGTTCCAGGGCCAGGGGAAGGGCTCGGGGTCGGGCTCGGACACGTTGTGGAGGGCGCGGACGGGCTTGTTCACGGGGGAACGGTAGCCGTTGAGCCTCTCAACAACCTCGTGGGTGAGGAGGTCAGCGTGCTTGTTGATGGCGACGGTGAAGGTGACCTCACCGGCGTCGAAGCGAGCGTTGTGCTTGGCGACCTTGATGGCGTTCTCCTTGAAGATCTTCATGCGGTGGGTCTCCTCGACCTCGTTGGCGTAGGTCTTGCCGTGCTCGGCCTTGAACTTCTGCCAGTGGTTGGCGAGCTCATCCTCGGAGGGGATGGACCAGCAAGTGGCCACTGCCACGAAGGCAGCGAGGACGATGAGGAACTTCATGATGCTGAAACGGAGAGGGCAACACTGCGTTAGGCGGGCGGTCGGGCGCTCCAATGTACGAATGTACGCTGCGGGGTGCCGGCTGGGCAGACCAGACAGTGCAGGTACTACTCACCTATCCAGGGGAGCTGAATGCTGCTCTGGCAGTGCGTCTGGGCTCCTTTATACCCTGGTGCAAACCACTCCCACCCTTCCTACAGCCAAGTACATTTTACGTACAATCATGGCAAACGCAATCTTTTCAATTATCTTGCATCTCGTGATCTTCCGTTCAAGTGCCCTGTCTGCGTCTTTTTTTTATCAAAACGTTTTCTCGAAAAATTCCACAAAAAAAGTTTCTGGTGGGATTTATTGGTTTGCAACTGCGCCTTTATTCAATTTTACTTAAGAGAGTGAAAACAAATTCTTGCTGATTATGACAAAACAAGTGCCCGGAAGGGGGGAGGGGATTGGGGGGGGGGGGGCACACTACTTTGTTTGCTGTTGGTAAATGGGTGGAATTTTTTCGGGCGTGTGCGAGGAAGTTAGTCAGTCTTCTTTCTACGTACATGATAATATTTCTACTTGAAAGTTATAAGTACACTCTCATTCCAGGAACGTGACATCACGTTGAAACGAACGTGACAAAGTGTCACGTTCGTTTGAGCATTGTGTCACGTTAGTTTGAATGTGAACAAGCTGATTTTTGGCCAATTCACATCCAAACGAATGTGACACAACGCTCAAACGAACGTGACATTTTGTCACGTTCGTTTCAACGTGATGTCACGTTCCTGGAATGAGAGTGTAATTTCATTCTTTCCTTGTGTTTGTGAGTATGAGAGTGGAGGTTCTCACGCGTGTTACGCAAGTCGTTGAATACCTTCCTACGCGATATCGTACCCTTCGGTCGTCTACTTGTGCGGTTGTCACTTCAGTGTCGCAGACACAATCTCGGCCGAAGAAGCAGAAATGAGTTTGTGCGATAAAGATGAAGCAGTTGCGTGCCATCACTGCCATCATCCTTGGCGTCGTTTTGATCACGTGCAAGCCGAAGGACGCCCTTTTGATTTGCTGATGCAAACTTTGTCGGGTATTGCCGCGTCGCCACACGACCTAACCTAACCTGAAGTTTGGCTCTGGCAAGCTGCTTCGAGCAACGGACCTTTACACTTCACTTCAGAGGTGATGCGGTGAATTGTGAAGATAGATTTTAAAAAATGAAGTAATCCGCGCCTTGCCCTTTGCCCGAAAATTGTGAAGCGTGAAGTGTGAGGTGAAGTGTAGGGTTAGGTGGGGAGCCCTTAAGAGCAAAGAACGCTCGATTCCTGCCTGACCTCCGGCTCCATCTGTGATGCTCTGCGAGGCGAGGATGTGTAAGCTAAGTTGCCTACCTCTCCGACGCCAGCACGATTTATCACAATGCGATTGCATACATCATAGTAAGTTATTTTACTGGTTTGGGTCATCATGGTGTAGGATCAAGAATGTGGCGAGTCATTGGACCATTTTCATATTTATTTTTTTTTTCATTTACTGTTTTTTACTTAAATATTTATTTTGAACCTAAATCCGGCAGACGGCGAGCGCCGCGACGACGAGGGCCGTGACGGCGAGCGTGGGCGCGGTGCTGGCGGCACCCGAAGCGTCGGGGTCGAAGGTGAAGGCCACTTTGGGCACCTTGCGGTGCGTGCCGATGTACTGGAAGAACCAGGCCGAGTCCTTGAGCGAGCGGTCTCGAGTGCCGCCCTCGTAGTCCACGTGCACCAGCCCGAACTTGCGCCTGCAAAGCACGAAGCCGTCGTCAGAGACACAGGTGCATTCCGACATCGGCGCAGAGCCAAGTTCGAAGAGTTCGTTACCCGAAGTTGGCGGTGAACTCGTAGCTGTCCAGCAGGCTCCACACCAGGTAGCCCACCACCTGCACGTTCTCCTCGTTGTGGGCACGAATGAGCTGCTCCAAGTAGGCGCTGTGGTAGCCCACTCTGGGCCCGTCGTGCTTGGCGTCGCCGACCCTCTGGTCGCCCCAGCCGTTCTCCGTGATGAAGATGGGCATGTTGTAGTTCTCGTGGATCCACTTGGGCGCCTCCCGCAGCACCCAGGGGTTGGCCTGTGACGGGGAGGAGAGGGCGGTGAGAAGTGAAATTCACCGAGCGGCTCGTGGGGTAAATTCCCGGCGGCTGTCCCTACCCTCTCGAACAGGTCCCCGAACTTTCCGGGAATGGTGTTGGAGCCGACCTCGATGGCGTCCCGGTCGGACTGGATGGTGCCGCCGCCCTCCGCCGCCGTGGGCCGCGCCGCGTAGGTGCCGTCGGCCACCGTCGTGCCCATGTACGCGTTGAAGCAGAGGAAGTCGGCGCAGCCTGCAGGCAAACAGTCACCATTCAGATCAAATTCCCCCGGAAATCGGATCCTCGCACATGGACGACCGCATTTGACGCGGTGTTTGGGGTTCCATCCACAGCTATGCGGCTGGCGATACTCCGCGCGCGAGAGACCTCCAATCAGGCCAATGACTCACGTCACTGGCCGAGAGACTGGACCGAGAGACTCTCAGCGCTATCACCGATCACTCGCGTCCTGGGTCGTGTCACTACTCCCCGCCCGAGGGAGTCTCCTTGACAGGGCTGAGACGCTGTGACGCCGGCCGCCGGTGTCTCGGGCCGGACTGGTGGCCTACCCGGCAGGCCGGCAGGCGCCACCGAGGCCTCGCGGGACCGGCTGCGGCCCCGGACACCGGCCGAACGGCCTGCACCCGACTTAGCCCACTCAGTGTTGCCACAATGCACCAGATCGAAAGGGTTGCCAACCTCTGCCTGACTGCCAGAAGCCAGACCTAGTGCCTAGAGAGCAGAGCGGCTGAAGTCGGCAACCCTAGCGACATGGTGCCTGTGCGCGCCGCGCCGTACCCTTCAGCAGCTTCTTCTCCTCCTCGCTGAAGTGGGGCAGCCTGGACTCGGTGCGGCCCTCCAGCGCGCTGTAGTGGTCGACGCGCTGGCGCAGGGCCTCCGGGTAGTCGCCGTACACCACGGGGTGGTAGATGGAGCCCAGCGCGAACAGGTTGGCGCGCTCGGCGGCCTGGATGTCCTCGTACGACGTCGAGTTGGGGCTGCACCACAGCGTCAGCGCCGCCGCGCCAATTTTGCCTGAATTCACGAACACCGACGCGTCTTTAAGCCAGGGAAGTCCACGAAAGGAGAAAGCATTGTGTGTGCCTCTGATCCGAGACAAGCCTGCCGAACGCCGAGTGAAGCCTTACCGCCCTGGTCCTTCCTGTACCGCTCCTCGTAGAGGCGGTAGGCCCTCATGTGCGCCAGGATGGTGTGGTGCACGCACTTGTAGTCGTCGCCCGGCTGCCGCTCGTACAGCCCCGGCACCGGGATGAGCGCGAAGTTCGTGCAGTAGTAGTTGGGCTCGTTGACGGTCGTCCACCACTTCACCTGCACCACCCACCGTCACCCTCGGTCAGTACACCGCCGTCTTCAAATCGCGTACAATGTCAAATGTGGAGCGGTAGTCACCCTGTCGCCGAACGTCTTGAACAGGAAGTCGGCGTAGTCGGTGAACATGTCCACGATCCTCTTGTCCACCCAGCCGCCCGTCTTCACCAGCACCGAGAGCGGGTAGTCGAAGTGGTTCATGGTGATCTGCAACGCGAGTGCTGGTGAGGCTACACAAGAAGGCCAGGTTCGGTGCCTGGACGGGTGCCGGGCGCCTGCCAGGTAGGCCACCCTGCCGGCCCGCAACACTTCGGTGCGGAGACGGTGGCCCACCCGGTGTCGAAAGGGATGCCTAGTACGCAGGCTGAGGAAGGCGACACTTTCGCCACACATCTCCGCGAAGTACCATTGGCTCGATGCCGTTGGCCTTCAGCTCGTTGATGAGGTTGTTGTAGTACTGCACGCCGAGCGGGTTGGGTTTGCTGGGGTCGCCGTCAGGGAGGATGCGCGGCCACGACACGGAGAACCGGTAAATCTGGAGCTGGAAAAAAGAAGAGAGGCAAGGGGAGAGTGCAAAACTAACTCCAGGGCGGCTCGTGCCCTCCCTCGTGTTGAACCCCCTTCACCTTGAGGGCCTTGGCCATCTTGACGTCCTCCTTGTAGCGGTGGTAGGAGTCCGCCGCCATCCCCGGGGGGTCCATGCCGTACCAAGGCGAGTCTGAGGTGAGGTTCGCCGTGGCTAGGTTCTCCACCAGCGAGCTTAGCACACTGGGGCTTTTGCCTGCAAGAAAAAACAGGGAGTCGGTAAAAAAAATTCGAAAAGTCCAGGTAAGACGGATTTTTGCGTCTGCGTCACGTCTAGTCCTGATTGGGTGCGCCTGATAAGATCGTTTCTCAAGAGCCGCTCCGATTGTCGATTCAAACGAGGTGCATTTCTTCGGTTTCAGCTGACGGCGAGTGCGCACATTGTAGGACACTGTGACGTGATCTGCTCTGACAGAGTGACAGAGAGCGCCGATGGCGTTCCCCAGGGGACGCCTCGGCCAAGGCCTCGGCGCTCTCTGACTCCAGAGGTTTAGTCACTCCAACAGGCGAGCGGGTTTCCTAAGGGGCGGGTTGTCCCTCATCCCTCCCCCTTCGCCACGCCACTGGCTCCAAGCCCCTATGACTCCAGCCTTAGCCGCTTTTCCAGAGACCAGAGCTTTCCCAGATGGTTTCCAGCGTTTCCAGTGTGGGGGCCGCTCGCCCCGGACTGTGGTCCAAGAAGCTGCCCTAGGGTCCTCACCGTCCTCAGCGTCCGACCCCTCGATCTGCAAGGCGGCCGTGCCCGCGCCGATCAGGAAGTCCTTTGGGAGGTCGAAGGTCGGGCCGTTGAAGTCGCTGCCGGGGGTGTCGTTGTCGGCGTGGAGGCCCCTCGGGTCCTTGGGGCTGGCCAGGGCGGCCGCGGCCACGGCCAGGACGAGAAGGGGCAGCCGCATCTTGACCGGCAGCGAAAGCGCGACTGTGCACTGAGCGCCAGGCGGCGGGGGCTACTAATACAACTCTCTCAAGTTCCTTCATCCGGAGCCACTCGCTGGCCTTCACTCCCCGCTCGTCGGCCCAGTCAGCCCCGGCTAAAGTCCTCGAGGCTCCTATCGGCACGTGCTCTGATGCAGTTTTAGAACAGGGATACATGACGGGATTCGCTGTCAACCCCTAAACAAAGCCCTGGCTGGTGGTGGGTGACTTGAGCTCTACGGAGAGGACGAAGGGTTGCCTACCCTGCCGGCGCCATCCGACCGTTTTTCAATTTTTATTGAAATGTTTGCGACCTTTGCACCCGTAAACAATCACACCGTCGAATAAGGGAGATTGTGACACACAGGGCCGTGTTGTCACGTAACAGAGGCACTCGAGAGTCGGTGACTGATTCACGCTGATAAATAGCGTGAATCAATCATTTATCACACCATTTTTCTTTCCCTGAAATCCACCAGATGCGTCACCGTGCGTCACTGATTATTATCCTGATTATTATCTAGGAATCCGAGCTGTTATTCGGGGGACAGCGAGCCAAAGTTGTCAGTTTCCATTGCTGCTTTCCCTATGTTATATCAGGACCAAATTGTTTTCAAATAAAATACAATCTGTTGGTTTGGTTTAGTATATATTTGAAATTATAAGAAAATTAAATTATAGTTTGATAATTTTACAGATTTGAGTACAGCATTATTCCAATAACTCTTCACCTTCGGTGACCTCCTTCAAATTCAACAGTTCAAGCTGCCCTGCACCTCTGGTCTCAGAACGCACAACTTCGTCAACCGTTCTGAAATGTCCTGGATCAATCAGACACACCTAAAAATAGATGTTTTAGCAGTTAAGAACCGGTAAGGTAGATTATTTGGGCTAAAGATTAAATAAAGAAATTTAACACAATGGCCACTCCAGATCTCAAACTTATACAGTACTTACAAAATTTAATGTTCCACTTTCCCAATCTTCACATTCCACCTTGGATGCTAGTTTAACAAGTTGCTCCCGAACTTTGCGAGCTTCTTTGCCAGCTATTACAACCCGTATTCTCATCTGGGCTCTTTCAATAGGAATTGCTTCCTTCAACATTGGTATTACATCCAATGCCTTAAAAAAAAAAAAAAAAGTTTTTGATAATTTAATTTAACATATTAAGCAATAAGATTCAGAAGCAAAAACTTTAAATTATCAGTAGGCAGAAGTCTTTTACCTGTTGCTTGGCATTTCTATTTGGCTTTACAGAAAAATGTACTTCTTTCATTGCCTGTTCTATCATGGATACTGGGTACGGTCGTTTGGTTTCTGGATTAACACATTTATCTGTGACAGAAATAGATTGCAAAGATAAAATTTAGACCAAAAAATTAACCAGCACTACCGTTGAAGGAAAAATTAGTACCAGCGACTGTAGTAGCTATGTCCTTAAACAGCGACTCCAGCTGAGAATTTCTTTCCTTGTCGGAAACTTGTAATTCACCCTTAGAAAGAATTTCTTTACATATTTCAGTCTGGTCATCTTTGCCAAACGCTTTAATTAAATCCTCTTTCTTGGCTACTTGTCCTTTCGACACATTCGTAAACACTGAATGTGTTTGCAAAACTTCGTCAATGTCCTTCTCCCTGAAAAATAAAATTGAAGATAAGTAATAATTAGGAATACTGTCATTGCTTTGATCCTTACTGCTGACACTTACACATCGTTTCTCCAAGAGACAACTTTATTCTTGTAACAGGCTATTTCAAAGCGTTTCCCCCCTTTTTTCATGCGCACTATTGCCACATTTGTGAGTCTTATTTGATTTGTGGGGGTGAATATTTTAGCCATACTTAGGAGTTAGTTGGTTTCAGAGCATTAGCAGAAATATTGAAAGAGAACCGTGACAAGTGGTGCAATGCTGCAATGTTTTCGTTGAGGTTAACTTTTTGAGGGGGAAGGAAGGAAGGGAGGGAGGGGGGAGGAGAGGGAGAGGGGAAAAGAGTCTAAGAGAAGAGAAGCAGCTCGAAAGATGGTTTGCTGAATGAATTATATACGGAATGGCATCATCTTTCGCAAAGTATCGTACGAAATTTGAGAAGTTCAAGCGTAGTAAGCACTTTAATTTTGGCCTGCCGTTTCTACTTTTTGTTGTCGGTGGTTCATTTGCGCTCAAAGAGTTCGCCAAAGTTCGGTAAGGGGGTTATGGTCCCGGTCATTGTGTACTGTGCATTCGCTCAGACCTGAGCCAGCGGCGACCAAAGGAAAAGTTAAACAGCCGAACCCCACCGGGGGCCTCATTGTCCGAGTGCTGTTCCGGTGCGTTATAAGGGTTCGACCCTTTGTTTCGCTCGTTGTCTGGAGGCTGTTTGCCACACTCATGATGGCACCAAGAAAAGGCCTGCATAGCAAAGGGTCGCCGCTGGCTCAGGTCTGAGCGAATGTACAGTAGTAGTTTCAGTTTGTCTGCGTCTTGCTCACAGAGCTGTCAATGTGCTGGTTTCTTTCAGTTATGAGTTCACCCATGTGAATCCATTTGATTTACCAATTGAGGAAAAGATAGAAAGCGTCAGAGTTGATCCAGAAAAGGAGTATGATAACATAATGAATAAGGTATGTTGATTTAGTTTAATTTCTCCTATTATAATTATGATCATTGCTGTTATTTGCACCTCCATCTGCTCTATTTTACAGATTGACCTTGACAACTGGGAGAACAAGAGAATACCCCGTCCGTGGGAAGAACAGGCCAGCTCGAATTAAAGTTGCGGATCCGTTTTTGACTAGTTGTTTTGTAGAAGTTCTCGTTGAAAGCTACTAAATGGATCCTGAAAAGCCTTGTTGGCACCGTTCAGATCCAACATTTTCGCAGAAAGTTACCCTGCGAAAAGAGAGTGAGAAAGTTGTAAAATCTTGCTGCCTTGTTGACCAAACTAGTGTTGGTGATATTCAAGCTGTAGTTCAGAATGAAGATATTGCATCTGTAACTCTCTGTCATGATTCTGATGAGGAACTTTTAAATTCTATGATTGATAATTCTTGTATTAGTAATGATGGCAGTGCCCCTGAAACCATTGACAACGTTGATGACGACTACAGTAATTCTAGCCGGCCCTATGTTCCTTTCTCAATAGAAGAAGTATCATTAGTGAAAACTTTGTCAGTATGGTCTAATCGTAATGTTCGTGTTATTGGCACAGCATCTCCTATTGAAAATGTAGATTATAATATGTGGAAACTGGTCAGCATTGGGGAAGAGGGAGGTCCTTTCTCCATTTCTGTTGATTTGAGGCTGGTCAATTTTCCCTCTGCCAATTGCCCCATACAAATTTTTGGTGAGTTACAAATGTTGAAAAACAATACCACTCCTGTAATTCTTGCTAAATTCTTTAGAGACTTCTCCTCTGTTGACATTTTTTACCATAACAAATCTGTTGAGGAGTTAAAGAAATACATTCCTCATTTCATTGATAGAAGGAACTCTCAAACTCGTATGTTAGATGACAGTGATTGACTTTACTTGCAATTTTTGAGTTCTTATTCTATTCTACTTACTCTCAGACAAAAGAAATGAGCTTCCGACTCTGTGTCTATTGGGGCATCTGGTATTAGAGGGTCAATTCTTTAGCAATTGAAGTGCAGGAGTTTACAAAGCCTTGAGTAAATTTCATGTCAATGTTAATGAATGTATTATTGAAGGTAAGAAGTTTCAGAACTGTAAATAGTCAATAAAACAATTTTAAGACAAGTGCCTCCACTTTATTTTACAACCTGCACACACTTTATTTTAACATAAAATATTTTCTTTAAAAAAATGTTTTATATCGAGGCTTTTGTTCAGCATAACTTTAAAGAAGAAATTTGTTCTTGCATTCTGAGAAGCAAAAGCAATCACGCAATGATGAACTATAGGTTAAATTAACACAAGAAAAAAAAAGGGAAAAAAAAGCTAGTTGACAAGTTGGCGACAGAATAAATTCATGCATGCACAAGTACAACTCAGCACAACAATTTTTCTCTGCATCTTCCACCTTCTATATACATGTTACTAACAAGGGCTCAGATGAAAAATAACAAATAGAAAGCTAAGTAAACAAAATTGTACAGTCAGAATGTGAAATACATTACAGGGGGACTTTGTATATGCCTGGAGCACCTAAGTCATTTACAAATTTAATTCTTTTTACAAATCCACCGTTGATTTGAGAATAAATAGCTGAGGTCAATTGGAACCTATAAGCCAGACATAAACTTGATGTTCAGGCAACTAATCAAGCTCCACTGAAACACCATCAGGTTTGGACAAATAAAACTAAGTGATTGTCCACGGCTTGCTTGAAAGATTTATACCTTTCACAGGACATGACTACCGTAAATTCAGTTGTTTAACTCTGACAAACAAATAATTTAAAATAAAAAAAATATTTAAAAAAAAGAATTATACTCACACATGAATAATGACACACGTGGTTACACATACACACACATCCACTTTTTATCAAAATGGTACTAAAATTCATTCAGCTGATGTTAGAACAAGATCCCATTTCAGTTCAAAAACACAACAGATATCTAACACGATACTTTGTTGAAAAACTGACACCTCCAGAGGGGAAAAAAACAGGTTTTGTCCTTTCTGTGAGAGCATCAAAAGACAGAAGCAAAAGCACAAAATTGAAGGAGGGAGACCATGGTTTCTAGAAAGAAACAACTTGCCTCTGTGAATGTATTCTTACATGATTTAAGATAAATAACAACTTTAAAGGACCAACTAAAATTCCTACAAAACATGGAACTTGACAGTTGAGTAGGAGAATGTCCTACAAACACAAATATGGCCCTATATGAGTAACATCTACATAAAAGTGGGTGAACTTACACAGTTCAGATTTCTCCCAAATGGTCCTAGTTAAGGGGGTAATTTCTCTAAAATACTTGCCTACTGACTGAGGTGATTGTAGTCAACTTATGTACAAAATACAACAAATTAAAATGTCCAATAATAAAAAAAAGTCCTGTTAACAACAGCTTTTGAGCCTCTCATTCCAAGAAGAAAAAAAACACACAATAATATACAAATATAAATTTACTATAAACATTACATCATGTCATCATTGTGCACCTGGTATACATGCAAATGATTTCATATTCTTTGACTTGCAGTGAAGGTCCGAGAGTAACCACCACCCATAAGGGTCACATACTTAAGTATTATGGCAACACAACAGTTAAATGGGCCTGGACATGTCTGTTTCACTGAAGCTCATGACTAGAGTAAGGGCTTGCACAGGTATGCTGTAGGCAGCCAAGTTTATTGTGGAGGCCTTTACAGCAACTGTTTGAAGCACTACAGACACTGATTGAAACAAACATGATGCCCAGTATTGCCATTAACCTTCACGGCTGGCAAAAGTGAGCTAAAAGAATGACCACTAAGCCCTTCACTGCCACTTGAAGGAACCACTAAATTACCTTCATTATAAGCAGCTACATCCTTTAGACACACACACACTCACACAGTTGCAAGATAGTTCATACAGTACGATTTTATGAAACAAATGTGCGTTTTTAGTGCATACAGTATTAATAAGGAAAATTCTGAAAAAAATTCATGTCTTTTTTCCAAACTTAAAAATGATGCTTACAATTCAATGCATAACTTCTTTAACCAATTTCATCAATGTTTATTATGGAAGCACACAGAAAAATGTGTCTAGAAAAATCTAGCTGCTGTAGAAAGAAGGAAAGAAGAGTCTATTACAGGCAATAATGCTCAACATCAATACATCTGAAGAATCTTTAGAAAAAAATTGTACAAATACTTCACAAAAATTGATGCAATGAAAAGATACTCAGAGTACTATGTAGTTAGGTAGCAAAAAAAGTTGATTAATAACCATGACTGTGATTGAGATACAGCTCTAGTTCTTCAATAACTCCACATATCAGTAACAAAACCCAAATTATGTTGACATACACCTTTTGAGCACACAAAATATCCATGACACTTATTATTGTTAACAGAACTAGAAAATTTTGCTTTCCTGACAGTCATTTGCACTAGGTTATCACAGCCTATTCCTCGATATTCTGGCCTCTTCCCATTGAGATGAAATTTGCTACTTCAGTTAGTTCACAAAATTAGGGAGACTTCGGACAACAAAATTGGAGATTTTTGAAACTCTCCAGCCGCTATATCAACAAAAATACCTTTTAAATATAAGAACATGTAATATCATACAAAAGTAATTTGTACAAATAAACATCTGTTTACTCAGGAGTATCAACAACAGTTCAAAGAAGTTTATGTAATAAATATGTGAGAGTGAGGGTTAAAAATACATGCTGTTTCTTTAAACTATACACAATGTACTAAAATGCTAGCATTTGGAAGCAATATTTGAGAAGCCAGATGACTTCAGGGAATACATGTGTTCATAGGAAATATGTCAGACTACGTGATTTTCAAAGGCAAGTTATCGGGAATATCTTCACTATCCAACTCGTTTTTTAATAAAATTGATGGTCGACTAGGTAAAGCTGAATCTTCTGAAACATCCTCAGTAGATCTTGAAAGTGCAGCACTGTCCTCACTCTCATCCACATCATCCCAATCACTCGCTAACTCTGCCATCTTTTGAGTTGTTTGGCCCGCTACTTGCTGGTCTGGTAAAAGGCCTTGACTTACAGTTGAGTTATTTGGAACATCGCTTCCATCATCACTTTTATGAGACGGAATTCCTGATATGGCTGTTATAACCATTTCATCAGCCATACTAGAAGGTGCCATTGTTGTTTGGATATTTGGCCCGACTACTGGTGTTATCACCATACCATCATCACTCATGCTGCTTGTTGGGACAGTAGTAGCCATGTTTGGCACAGCAGAGACAACAGAAACAACAGCACTAGTGGGTACCATGTTCATAGAAACAGGAACTGATGTTGCCTGCATAACACCACCATTTTCTCGGACAATCCCTTCACTGTAGGCATGATCAGTCAAAATCATGGTGATTTCACCACCACTATGGTCTTGAATATGACCCTGGGGAATCTGCATCATAGCAGTTTCCATTATTGGGTTGTTTCCCTGCTGCGGAACTGTATGGTTCACAATAGAGCCATTAGCATTCACAGTTGTTATGGTCATTAAGCCTTGATCTGATGTGGAAACAGCTACAGGTTGCTGCAAACCACCTGCTGTGGTGTATTGTACCAGTTGAGACAAGTGGCTGGGAGTGTAAACTCCCACACTTTGACTCATATCATTGGACATCATATCCGGCACGATATATTCATGAACTTGTCCTGGGTTTCCTGGTGGACCTGGAATTTGTATAAGGGAATTTTTGTCCACTACAATAAATGTTTGATGTTGCCCTTGATCACCAACAACCATAGAATCAGCAACTCCCAAACTAGCTGCAATACCACTTGCAACATTACTCAGAGCTTCTGCTTCGGTTGATTGCATCAGGGTGCCCTGCGAATCAAACATCAAACAAATTTTAATTATCTACAAAGTTTAATTCACAACATTAACATGACATCAACATTATTGCAAAACTACTACTTACTTGATTGTCAGTGAGTATTGTAACTCCAGGGGGCAAAATATATGTTGTTTGTGGTTGTGCATTAAGACCAGCTTGTGAATGGACATCAGAGGAAACTTCCATTGAAGCTGGTGCTTGGAGGACCTGCTGACTTAACGGGTCTTGAGGGTCATGAGTATGCTGCAGAGCTTGTTCCAGTGATGCCTGCTGCTGCTGCTGCTGCAGTTGTTGCTCCAGAGATTCTTGATGCTGGTTCATATCCTGAGATAAAGCATGAGGCATCTCAAGTGACTCTTCCATCTTCATGGTTGGTTGCTCCATGTCTTCCAACAGTTTTAAGTTCTGGTGGTCAGTCCGAATGTGACTCTTCACATCAACCTGAAGCTGGAAATCTTTTGAGCATACGGGGCATTTGAAAGTCTGAAAAACAATGAACATTTGTAATTAACGGACAGTGGTCAAATACTATGAATTCCATCTCCCTCATGAGGACATACCTTTCTGCGAGGGTTGCAACGTTGGCTGTTTTCAAGGTGGTTTTGAAGAGTGGTATGAGACTTAAAATAAGCAAGGCACATACTGCACTGATATTCCTTGTTTACATTTGAATGAGTGTTTTTGTGCTTGGCAAGAAGCACTTCACTAAGAGAAATGTGGTTGCACTGATCACACTTCGGAAATTTACAACTAGGAGGAGGGGGGATGCCATGTACTTTGTACAAATGGTAAAGTAGAAGATTGCGCTTGTTTGCATGATGGCCACAATGTTCACAAATTCTGCAATCTACTTTCTCATTGTGAACCTCCTAAAGTACAAAAAGAAACACATGAGACACAATTATGGAGCAGCTTTAGTGGGGAATGTGAGACTAAATGACAACTTACCCTCAAATGTTTACGATAGTTGTAGTAGGTATCAAATAAAATTGGACTTTCAGGGTCACATGTCGAACACAGCCAGGGGCCAGTACGATTGAAAACACCTGATAATTTATTGTTTTGCTCAAAGCCTCTACTCTTAACTGACTGATCAGTTTTGACAACCATGTAGGACACCTAAAGAAAGACGAGCTACATTATAACCTACATTCTGAAAAGTAAATAGAAAAAGTAGATTTTTGATTGTGGAAACCTACCTTGGGTTTACTGTCACCAGGCACTCCTGGCTTTTCCACACTAACAGCAGGTGATCCATCCTTCTGGATAATTTTGAGCCTGATATTTTTGTTGTTTTTGACTAAATCAGGGTATTTTTTAAGAACCTGTCGAGAAGAGTGGGAATGCTTTGTTAAAACAAAGCAGGGCAGACATCAGAATATAATTTCTAAGAATCATAATATACATTACCTCAGCTATTATCTTTGCATGGTTTGCAGCAGTAGGACTTTTTGGTGCAGTACCCGTGCCATCACTTGTTTTTTTCACAGGAGCTCGAATTTCAAATGTACTTCCAGCAATCTCTTCATCTTTTTTCACAATAGAAGACCCGGTAAGAATAGCATTGCTTAGTGGAACAGTGCCAGCAGGTGCCGTGCTCGCAACAACAGAACTGACACCAGTAGCAGTACCAGTTGATACAGCAGGCTACAGGAAAAAGACATCTCTCATTACTAGTTTATCAAGCGTGACAAAAACAAATTTATAACTGTTGTTTCAAAGTACCTCATTGTTAATGGCTTCCATTGACAGATTGTCACCAGCAACTTGAGATTCAGAGTTTCCAGAAACCAAACAATTTTGAGCATCCTGTAGAGCAGATACTGGTACAAGAGCACGAACTTGAGGTTCTAGATGAAAACGTACTTTTTTGCTGGGGGTTGATTCTTTGAGAACTTCTGGACTTTCATTTCCTTGCAACTGAAATAGCGAAATGTAATTTATCAATAACCAGAAACAGAATGAGCATAAATTCTCACAATCAAATTACAATTCAAGAGAGAAGTAAGAGTACCTTTAGAATAGGTTTTGGAGTGCTGTTTTTACTGGATGGTGTTGTTGAGGCAGACTGTGATTGAAAAGCACCCAATCGGTCATTAATACCTTCTTCAGCGTCATCTTCAAAATCTTCAGCATCATTGTCAGCCACAGGAAGAAAATCATCCAAGTCTTCATTTTCCTGTTCATTATCATTTGTAATTAGTGATTTCCGAACTTCTTGGGCCTATAAATTAATTAAGTATTGACTTAAGCAGTTGGTTCAAACATTAGAAAGAAACAGAGCAGTGAAGAATAGGTGGAAATGCAGACACAGTACCTGAACAAAGTCTTTTACATCATCAATGTCAACCTTTGGTTTCTTTGGGGTAGAGCCATCGACTTGACTTCCATGTGGTCTTGATGATGTGTCTCTCTTGAGGTTTGCTGACTGATAAACCGATTCAAAAGTTGCAGCAGGCATAACTCTCTCTTGTGGTAATTGCTAAAAAAGTAAAAATAAGAATAAGTTTAATTTTTTTTTTAAAGTAACAGTTGACATATTATTTGGACTTACCACGAGGGGTTGTGATGGGGAAGGTGGGAGAGCTGATTGAACTATTGAGTTTATGGACTTGACAATAGGAACTGAATCATACGAAATATCATCAAAAGTCGAGCTGTAGAGTAAGGGTGCAGAATCCGAGTCTCCATCTTCTGGCCATTCAAAGCGGGTAGGTTTTGCTGGCTCCTCCACAATAGGCCTTGGTGTACTGAGAAATAAATTCAATATAAGAAAATATGACAGTGGACAGATAAAAATAACTGTGAACATCCTGTACTCAGAAAAGAAAACCCAATAAATCCAATACTACTAAAGCAGTGAGCCGTTGTTGTCTGTGACCTGAATGACTATCACTTCTTCTGTAAACCAAGACTTCCATAGTAACAACATACTTACACATTCAGAGAGAAGCTCGAAGATGGCACTGTTCTCTTCTTCCAAATAGGCAGTCTAGTTTCACGAAAAAGAAAAACAGCAAATATAACTACCAGACAAAAATAACCAAATAAGAAAACTTCACAGGGAACGAAACTTACTTTTTTCCAGGAACAAAGTCTGAACCTTCATTGTTGAAGTTGGTGCGCGAGTTAATAGCAGGACTGCATGGAACTGACCCAGAACTAGTGTTAACTGGAAGAGTGAGGAGCTTTTGCTTAGGAGATACTGGCTTGTTAACAGGTCCACCATGAGTGTCCAGCAGCTTAGTTAAAATGCTCATGTTGAGAATTCTAGCTGTATTATACAGTCTTTGATGGAGTTCGGGGCGGAATTCCAGTCTTCCAGAGTACATAAAGCTGAACAACAAAAGTGAAAGTGAATAAAAAGGCTCAGTAACACGCAGCTCTTTAAAGCACAAAATTGATGGCAGCATACTTGATGATTGGAACCACCACATCTGATTGGAAAGTTGGAGGTAATCGCATGTGGTCAGTGACATTGTTTTGCTTGATTAATGTTTCAAAATATTCTGTACAAGTGTTCAATACCAAACGGTGAACCTGGTGGGGAAACAGGCACTGGTAAGACGTTGCTCTCAATAATTGCGAAATAATAGTAAGCACACTTCACGCCCATAGATCACCTTTATGCATTCGTTAGTGTGAAATTGTAATGTCAAATCAGTGAAGTCACCGCGTGTATACAGTGCCTGAAGCTTCTGCAGGAAGAACGCAGCCCAGTTGTCAACCTTCACCTGCCGCAATCCATCCATGGTGGAGCGGGAGGAAATTACTCCTGCAAAAGAGAAAGGATAAGAAGAGGGAACAACGATAATCCAAGAGTACACAGATTAGTATCCAGCAGTTACTTAGAAAGTGTAAGTGAAGACGTTATCCCCAACTACTTTTAAGACACTTGAACAGACAACTGCCATAAGTGGTTCGAGAATATAACATAGACTTCAAGGTTAGCATGTCAGATCAGAAAGATCAGAAAACCATTATCAGAAGAATAATAGAATAACAAACAATACACACAAAGTACTTTAAATGACAGGTAAACAAACATCCTAACCTAACACCAAATGATGCAGACACTGTGCTTAAGAAACACAGTGTGTCCAAACAGAAAGAAACAAAAACACTCCTTAGATTCATAAACAAGCGCTCCGCAGTTCCAGAAAATGATTCTAATGTAAACATGCCATGAAATGATCAAATTGTGTGTCAGAACATTTCTAGCCTACAATCGGGCCACCTCCACACAATTGGTTTGACCAGGTGTAAACTCGGAGTAAGTCGAGGAGGAAGGCAACAAATGATACAGATACCTCTAATGGCTATTCACAATCATTAAGTCACTAGTTTTGTTTGTTTATCATTGATAGCAATAGGAAAACCCGTTCCATTAACACTTGCCGCCCCAACAAAGCTGCCTCAAGCAAGGTCACAATGCAGACAATTCTCCGTTTTCCTCCAGCACAAATGGTATTCAATCACTTTCACTAATTCCCCAGTATTGAGGTCAGTATGATGACGAGGTTTTCGTACCACCCGGTATAAACATACCTTGCGTACAAGCCCCTATAGTGAGAGATCAAGCAGCTCCATCTCTCAGCTCAACGCTGTTAGCGACGAAAATTATTGAGCGTCTGGGTTCAAACTGCGACACACAGGTAGCAGCACTTGTCCTCAGAAGTGAGTTGGATGTATTTCTATGCTATTAACGTAGTAGCATCACTGATCGACGTAAACAGAGGCCATTCACCGTTGCAAAGAAAACTTTCTTTGCCCCGAAAACTCAAATTAGGTATCAGCCGGTTTCCTAAACTCCAGCAGAAAAATTTTACCATCACCGTCTTTTTCACGATGGCGTCGGCTTGCGTGCTTTCTGTAGCCAACCTACAGCACCGTACCGAAATACTGGACGAACGAGACATGCTATCTTTTGAATCTTGACGTGTGACATAATATGACGAAAGTATTGAATTTTTAAATTTCATGTTTCTTGCGCCCCTCGGCAGTCTACATCAAAAGCTTGTACTTCGAAATTTTTGGTACAATAGTTGGAAGCAAAAAACGCGTTTCAAGCTCAAATTTTCTCCTGCGAATAACGAGTGCTTTCTGCAAGCGCGGGAAAAGTATGTACAGGAGGCACCCCTCAAGCTGGATCATTCTCCTGATTATATTTTCTTGGTGGTGAAATACGAAACATTGGTCTCGTCTTTTCGTGTTATGTGGATGAAATTGATGACTCATCTTCTTGGAAGTCCAGTTCCTTATCAGTTTGAAGCAAATTTGAATATTTCTGCCCTCATTATTTAGTTGATGTGAAAGATGAGTGGTGAACACAACCTCTCCGATTCTGATGAAAGGTGTTTAAAATGTAACTTTTTCTCCTGCTTTTTATTTTCTTAAGGTTCTTTTTGTTTCTTGCACATTTGAACATTTGATAAATTTAGGGCTTATTTTCTCAGTCGCTCAGTGATGTTGGCATTATCGTTGATTGTCTAAGTTGCAGCTTTGGCTACACTTTACCAGCACGAGGAAGCTTAGTTTGTCTTCGGAATCGTACAGCACAGCGTTCCTTGTCACTGGACACTTGTCATATTGGTCGAATCGTGAAATATTCTGGTAAGTTCTCGCTCTTGAAGCTGAATGAATGTACTATCATTGTTTTTTTCATTTCGGTACTCAGTTGCTCTGTTTTCATATAGAAATTGATAGCAAACCCTATTGCATAGTGGAATTATATCTGAGACCAGAAACATTACCTTGTAACACTGATAAGCAAGGTTACAAGCTCAAGAAGTTGAAAGAAGTTGTGGCAGATTGCCATCAAAACCTTGGCCAGTTTCCAGCTCTAGACATAATCTGTCGGTGTATGGTAGGTGACTGTTGATGTTTCTTTGCCTTTTTTATTCATTTTTATTTTTATTATCTGCTTGTCAACCTTGTGTACAATATGTTTCAGATAATAGGTGAAGATTCATTGCACGGTATAGACACTGACCTCAATCGAGACGATCCCACTTTTTTACTTAGATTTAAATTAGAAGAAACAGAGCCTAAGAAATTCATTATTAAACCTCTTGATTCCTCTCTGGATAAGATGGTTTCAGGAAAGTCTGAAATTTTGTCAGAAAAGGGACTGAACTCTGAAGAGGAAAGGTACTTGTCTTGTGGTCCTAGAGGATTAAAAAGCCCTAGACAAGTTGTGGAAAACCCTGCTATTTCTCGTGAAGATGTAAAAGAGAACCTCGAGTCAAATGTTTCTTCTCGCAAAGCAAGGTCCCCTTCTTTCAACGAAAGACCATCAAAGTCTTCTGTCCGTCGGAGCCTTGTGTCGGATTTGGATTGCACCCCTGCAAAACAGTCACGTGTTTATGATGATAAAATAGTCTCTGCTTGTGAGGTTAAATTGGAAAAAATTGATTCGGAATCTGATGCAGACAGCATATGGAAGGTAAGCTGAAGCTAAGTTTTTTCTAACCAGCAGCGTCAGAAAGTATTCTTCAATGATGGTTTCAAGGATCAAATTAATTTAAGAGCACCCCAGACCCAGTTGTTTTTGGTATGGGAACATTAGTATTTATGTACCACTTCAATCATCGGTTATCAGGACTCCTGGGTTTCCCAATTGATGGATTCAAACATACCAATTGTTGATAATGGGCGATGTCCAACACCTATCAGGCTGAGCTTGAAACGAATACGGTCTGATATCACTCCCAGCAAGGTACCGCAGATATGAATAACAATTCATGATGTGTTCTGTTAGTGCTTGGAACCATGTGTTGCTGACCGGTTTGCGGGACTGGATTTTATGGTTTTAGCTCTCGTAACAAGTTATTTGGAGGTCTAGCCTTGCTTCATTATTTATACACAGCTCGTTTACTATCCATGCTTTCTTAAACTACTGCGGTGACTGGTTGTTGATTCAATAAGATAGATTCATCACCATTTTCTTTGAGTCTTTGTGCGTTTGTGGCTTGGAAGATGCAAAATGATTGGTGTTGGTATTCATTTGTGTACATGGTCATTAGAACATTTACATAGATCATGTGATTCGGCTGGGAATCATAAAAGCCCTTAGTGGAAAACTCCCAACATTATCCTGCCATTTGTTCTGACCACAGTATCTCTGCTTTGGTTTTCATATTGTGGTGTTGCTGCAACTTTGAATTAATTGACCTAGGTTTAGTATTTAATTTTTATTTACCTCTTTTTCCCTTAGCTTGGAGATAATTCTCGATTAAGAAGGAAATCCACAAGAAATGACAATAATGATGTATCTGAGTCAGATGATGATTACTCACAGCAATCTGTAAATAGAGCCAGTACTTCAGCAGCTGTAACATCTTCCCGAAGGTCTGCACGAAAAACAAAATGTGCCATCTCTCTGGCAGAGTCCACAACAGATTCAGACCCTGAAGATGATGCAGCTGCCAAAACACGTAGTGGTAGGAAGATTGTAAATAAGACATGTGGAGAGAGCTCAAATTCTCGAACACCAAAGGGAAAAGCAGCAGAACCTACTGGGAGACGGTCTACCAGACGTCAGTCAACTTGGGAAGCTGAGCAGCCCAAGACTCCTAGTTGTAACAAATCTACAGAGCTTCAGACAACCGCTGAAGTAGAACCAAAAGGAGAAGTGATTGATCTATTATCTCCATTAGAGAGCGGAACTCCTCTATCTAAAAGAAAGCCAAGAAAAACTCCCCAGCCACAAGAAAACACTACAGAGGAGCCCAAAACCCCTAGATCAAGAAATGCTGGGATTCAGACTGCTTCAGGAATGAAATCAAGCTCTGTAGGAGAAGTGGTTGATGTGCCAACTTCAATACAGAGTACAACTCCTTTACCCAAAAGAAAGCGAGGAAAAAGTGTTAAACAACAAGATGACACTGATGAATCCAATATGTCTTCTGTTGAGAGCAAAACTCCTATTAAAATCCTCAAAGTCGATGAAGGACAGAGAACCCCCAGAACCTCATCTAAAACATCTTCCAAGTCCCCAAGAACCCCAAAGGCAAAGACTCCTTTGAAAACTCCGTCAAGGGTAAGAAAAACAAAAATTAATGCTCAATTTTTGTTTTGTTTCTTTTTCTTAAAATTTTTTATTTTTGTTATTATTTGTAGTCTGCTTTAACTCCATCAATGCCTGCCCGAGTAACCGCTCGTTTTACTCCAACGTCAAGTCTTGAACAAATCCGTAAAAATCTTCATGTCTCTGCAGTGCCTATGTCTCTTCCTTGCCGAGAATCAGAGTATAGGAATATTTACAACTTCCTTGAAAACAAAATAAGAGATTCAGCTGGAGGGTAAGTGAACAATAAATTGCATAGCACTCCACCTTACTTCACCACACTGGTAATTGTTGTGCACTTACAAGTTTTTTCATTCAGGTGCATGTATATCAGTGGTGTTCCTGGCACTGGAAAGACTGCCACAGTAACTGCTGTTGTTCGTTCTTTGAAGAAATTGGCTGATTCTAAGAAGTTAAAAGATTTTCAGGTATTCTTTTAAGTTGTTCTGCATTTCTTGATTGTATTACATGTGCTAAATTTTGTGAACTTAATTTATCATTTTCTACAGTACATTGAGACTAATGGTCTCCGCATGACTGAGCCGCGACAAGTGTTTGTGCAAGTTCTCAAAGCCTTGACTGGTCAAAAATGCACTCCTCAGCAGGCTCAAGACATTTTGGCTGAAAGGTTCTGCTCAGGATCAGCAAAGAACAAAACTGTTGTTCTTTTAGTTGATGAAGTAATGTTTATTCAAATAATGTCCAAATCAATGTCATTTCGGGGATTTTCTGGATAACCCTTTGTAATGTTATAGGTGGATATGCTTCGAAACCGTCGTCAAGATGTGATCTATAATTTGTTTGACTGGCCCAGCAAACCAAATTCTCGTTTTATTGTACTGACAATTGCTAATACCATGGATCTTCCAGAAAGACTTTTAAAGGGTCGTGTTACTAGCAGACTTGTAAGCATTTCTATTGTGTGCCTTGATTTAAACAATTTTCTTTACTATTATGTTTTTTAAATCTTTACCATTTTGTTTCTCTTTTTGTAATAGGGACTCACACGTCTTACTTTCCAACCATATTCTTACAAACAACTGCAAGAAATTGTCTTGTCTCGTCTGCAGGGATCAAATTCTTTCAATGATGATGCTGTTGAACTAGTTGCCAGGTATGAACTACAATCAACATTTAAACTGTATTGTATTCCTTTGCATTAGCAACACTCATCTTAATCTTGTTGTGTTTCATCATTCGACAGGAAAGTTGCTGCTTGCTCTGGTGATGTTCGTAGAGCTCTTGATATTTGTCGAAGAGCATCAGAGATGGTTGAAGAAGGAAACCCTGTTACTATGCCTATTGTTAATCAAGTTCTTTCACAAATGATGAATTCAGCTAATGTCTGTTCTATCAAGTAAGAGTTGATTTGATTGTGTTTTCTGGTATTCACCTACCGTATCAACATAGTACTTATTCTTTGTTTTTATTTATTTTTTGTTGTTCAGGGCTTGCAGTAGACTAGAGAAACTTTTCTTGCAAGCAATTGTAGCTGAAAATGAACGAACAGGAGTTGAAGAAACTAATTTTATTTCTGTCTATAGACAGTTTCAGTCTTTTTGTGCACTGTCAAGTATGTTGTGAGAAATATGGATGAAGAGCAATTGTCAGCTTGCAAAATTCATTAAATTTTTGTATCTCCTTGTTCCTTCAGGTGTTACTCTTATCAATATATCTGAAGCTATGGCGTTGTTGAATAGGCTTGGAACATCAGGACTCTTGTTGACGGAGCATTCCAGAGCAGACATCAATCAAAGTGTAAGTTTAAAATTACAGTTGGAAATATGAGAACAGACTAGTTTGACTGTTTTGATAATGCTTATTTTTTCATTTCAGATTTTTCTTAATGTGAATGCAGATGATATTCATTATGCTCTGAATCAAGTTGCCCCAGCATCCTAACCACTGGCCTTTTTTATCTATCTTTTTAAAAGCTGCCCTTGCATGTGTTTTAATTTTTTTTTTAATTTATGAAACTTTATCAGGTTTTTAATTAATTAGTTTAGGTGTCTGTTTCTGTTACATCAAACCTAAAAACACTTATATTATCAAAATAATATGAATTTTACATGTTTAAATTTCCATTAGAACATCCTCATCTGCCAAAAATTCTTGATTATGTTTATCTGAAAAATGGAGAAAATAAACAAATAACTCTGGAGACAACATTGTTTTCAAAATGCACATCAAAACTACATTAAGACCTTACCTCCGGCACCAACAGTATGTTTAGCCCCCACCAGACAGTCTTTCAACTCTGTATTGGCTCCAACTTCAACCCCATCACAAAGTATGCAGTTGGTCAAAACGCACCTGAAGGAGGAGAAAGACATTATAAGCTAATCTATGGTGGCAAAGAGTACCACAACTCAATTCACAGACAAATGTTGCCATACCCTTCATTAACTTTCACATTATTCATGATGACACAGTTTGAAATTCTTGTTCTGCTCATAACTGTACAGGAAGCACCAATGGTAGAGCTCTTGAAAGATGTCTTTTCATTTAGCAATGTACCCTCTCCCACCAAAGTTGAATCATCGACTTGGGTGGACTTGACTTCTGCTCCAGGATGCAGGCGCACTAACACATTTCCACCCGTCACCTTTTCCCAAATTTGTAAAATCTGTTCATGTTTTAATAAAAATTAGTTTCTCTGGGTTATTTGTGTGGTACATTGTAACAATGGACTTATCTTATACTCACCTCTCTGTTGATAGAAGCATATGCCTGAAGCGTGTTAACCCTCATACCAAAAGAAGTTCCTTCCACTATATGAGCATAACAGCGTATCTTATCATCCTGAAATGTGCCTTTCATATCGCCCCAGTGATCATTTGATAGGGATATTGGCAATACCTTACTAACTAATGTGCTCTCCTTGGCAAACTGGAAAATATCTGGTCAGGTAGAAGTGCAGTGCTTAGTATAGTGGGCAACAGAACTTCAGTAGGCAATTGATCTACTTACCATTCTTCGTATTTCCTCTAATGGTGGAAGCATCTTCAACTTTTTGGGTGGGCTTTGATGACTGCTTCCGAACGATGTATGGCAATAGCTCTCCCTTCAAAGTACCTAAAGACCTGAAAGTTGACAAAATTTTCTTGAATGCTTTAATTCAATTTTAGAACAAAATTTCATGCAAAGGGAGAAAAAAGGGAATACCTTTCCTGAACAAGAAACTCGCAAACCCATTTACGTAAAATATAGACATGTGAATCTAAAAGTCTGCTGTACAATTGCAAATGGGGATGTTTTCGAAGAAGTCCTCGCGACAAAGGCAATGTTTCATCAAAATCAGACACAGATGCCAGCAGAACAAGTCTTGACGTGTCTGCGTTGATACCAACTAAGTCTCTCTCTGAAAATTGTGGGTCAATTAGACTTTGTAAAATGACATGGGATTAATTCTTACATAGACAGGTGCTCACCAGGTTTGTGCTTGGTCTTGGGTCCTGGGGTGGGCAGTGAATCCCCAGCAGAAACCTCTGCAGGTTTCAGGAAAAACATGGTAACTGCAGCTTCATTTTTGCGGAAAAGCTCCAGGGCAGGATATAATGAAGCATCTGTGATAAAATCACTACTAACAACTACAACATCAGATTTGATTTTCTCATTGATGAATTGTAAGGAATCAGCAGTGCCCCAATCTTCTTTTCCAGGAGGGAGGGCGGCATAGTCCAAGCGAATGGAAAGGTTGCATTTCTCTAAAGCTGCTTGAATTTCGCTTTTCGTATTGTCCGCAACAATGACAATAGCATCTGTAATTATTTGGGATAGAGAGCGTAAATAAAAGCAAGGTAAAACAAGAGGATAACAACAAGTTTAGAGCTATACCTTGGAACCCTTCTCTTTCAAGCATTCTTAAAGGGTACCAGATCATTGGCATATTTGCAATGGGAAGAAGACATTTGGGCCGTCCAGCTGTGACCTCTGTCATCCGAGACCCGTGGCCAGCGGCCAAGACAACAGCTTGAAATTCTCCTGCGACCATGATGTCGTCTGAAATAGAGCAGGAAGAAAATTATGTGAAAAGTTTAACTTGATTGCTAATTGATCAACAAATTTGTGTAACCATCTGACATGAACATCTGGACCATGACATATGACATTCACACTTGTAAATAAAATGCTAGAGGGATGTTCAAACACCACTGCGATAAATAAGAATGAACTCGGCTAAAGAAAGAGAAAATATGAGCGATGCACTCGCTTTCCTGCGCATTTGAGTAAAATTAGGTTCAGGAATGGGCAACTTAACCTAAGCACCAGTCCACTTCAGACAAGTTTTCTGCTAACAGTGCAATAAGTCACACCATAAAACTTGGTCAAATACTGAAATAGAAGTTCGAAATCGACCGTGAGACTCAAAACTTGCAGTAATAGTTGACATAGATACAAACTTACAATTCTAGTAAAAAATATACATGTGTTTACATCCGCACCTCGATTTCAATTCGAGAGTGTCGAGAGTCGATTTTCCTAACAGAATCACTTCCGAATCACGCTGCTTCTCTCTCTCTCCGATCCGCAAGACCAGCGAGTGCAACAAAGACAGGCTGCGTTAGGTTTACACTGCGCTTTCGAACGCAGTTGTGTCTTCTGCTGCGTCGAAGGAAGAAGGAAGTGGCACAAAGGCTGACGTGCTGTTTAGGCCATGTTTAGGAAGGTTTAGGCCATTCCTGCATCTTTCCTTTTGACAATGGAAGTCATGTGAAATCTCGAATCTAGGCCTGCATCTACCTCATCGCTCGTCCCAAAATTTCCTGCGGAAAATTTGAAGGTGCGCGCTCTGTGTTCCATTCTCTCAGATGTAGAGTCCGAAACCCCGCTCCACCCGAAGGATATGCTCTGTGTCTGCTTAGTAGAAGGTCCTTTGTTTTGCATGGCAAGCATGACAAAGGTATTTTCGTCTATTAATTTGCATCAAGTTGTTTCTTGATTTCGCCGTTCATTCTCACTCGGCCGTTGTCTGCTCTCATTGATTTGTAGAGCCAGACTTTGAGCCACTCCTGCAGATAGGCTGCAACAGTTTTGTGTTGATTGTGGCATCTGTTCGTAACCACTATTGGCTGACGTTTCTGGGTTTGTTGCTGCCCACATTTCACTTACTTTTGTTGTAGATTTTTCTCGATTGTTCATATTGAGTCTGGCTCCTCATGTCAACTAAAGTAACCGTTACTATTAATGTGCCTCTACTTTGGCATAAACGAGAAACAACTTGACTGCATTGATGCTGCTGCCACCCTACTCATTCTTATTTTCTTTTGCTTATAATCATCTCAGGTGCACCATGAGTGAAAACAAGGAGGGAGACCCTGTAGATGGTGGGGAAAGCAGTGATCGAAGCTTGTCCGACAGCTGGACTGTCCTTGATTCAAGTCATTTTAAAGATGGTATGTGATATCACTTTTGTCACATTGTCATTTTAGCTCTTGCATTGTAAATAATTACTAAGCTTTCCTTTTTTAACCTGTTATCCAGATGGTGACTTGAGTGATGCAGAATCAGTTGAAGTTTTGGCAAGTGAAGAACTGCTAGTTGATGACATCTCTGACCAGGAGAAAAGCCGTGAACGGTTCACATCAGATGCTCTGGCTGCACTAATTTCTGACAGCTGTAGCATAAGCAGCACTGCTACTGTTGTTGCATCAGTGGATGCAACAACAGCTGTCACTGAAGCAGAAGAGGTCATCGCCCCACCAACAGAAGTTAGTGGTGCGCCAACAGAAGACAGAGAAAATGAAAGCATTGAAACTGGCACAAAGCCAATCTCCCTGAGGAAGCTCTTGAAGGATATAACAGCTAAAGCCTTTGGACAAGACCTTGCTAGATTGTGCTTTGAAGTCTGTATTTACACTCTTATCATTGATTTGGTCTTCTTGGCATGCTTTGGATTATCTTCACTGTCATGTATCTTGGGTAAAAACATTTTTCTATATTTATTTTTCATCTTTGTACCCTAATGTTTTTTTGTGTGTTTTTCCTTAACCCTGTGCTTTAAAATTTCAGACCAGTCCAACTTTTCTCTCATGAAGAACACAAAATCTTATGAGCGATATCAACTGGACCCTTTATCACTGCAGTTAAGCCACGTCCTTGCTGGTATGCGTTTGCATTACTCCCCCCCTCCCTCTTCTCCCCATTTCCTTCAATCCATTAAAAACTTATGAATTGATTTTGTTTTATTCTATAGAATGGAAGAAACGCCCCCTAGAAGATCACAATCTTGATCGCCACCTGCTCAAGACTATGCTTTTGTACTATGGTGGGAGCACTGAACTATCTGCCAACCTGTTTGCTCTGACGGAGAAAGTTCAAAAGCACAACGAAATCATCAAGCAATTCAGCAAGAAACAAGATATGAAAGACGTACAGCATCAGCAAATGATAGTATCTGGACACTTGGCTCATTCAATTGCATGTATTCTTGGGAAACAAGATAATGATAAATCTATTCCTGTGGACCTGTTTACAACTTTAAGCAATGGCACAGATGAGATTGATGCATTTGCTCCGGAGCCTGGCTTCTGGCTTAATGATTGGCACCTTCCTCAGTACTTAAAAGCCAATGAAACGTTTTATCGAGTTGATACCAAACCTGTCTTGCCACCAATGCGTAATTTGTTCCTCCACCTTGGCTCAGCCAAGTGGAATCAGTATTTCTGGAAGTTGTATCACCAGGATGAGAAAGATGAAAGTGCAAACAAAGCAAAGACCAGGGGGAAAGTGAGTGCTGAAGAGGTTACCAGGAAGGTTTCTGATGACTTGGAGGGAGAGGAAACAGAAAGATCTCCTTTGGATGATGCTCATGTCGGAGACTTTATTTCAATTGAGGAGTCATCTGGCAATATTGATTTAGTACCAGAAACGCCTGATGATGATGAAAATGATCCAATATACCCACTTTTTGTGAACAGTTTGGTTGAAACGGTAGATGAAGATGTAGATGAGGATGACTCAGATTACAAGTTTGAAGACTTTGGAGGCTACTTTGAGGTACTCGACCGCAACAAATATTTTGGCAATGACATAAACTACCATAGTAGGTATGAATGCTCAGATGAAAGCTGTCGGCAGTTTCAAAAAATAAATGCTGAGAAAATTGAACGGGTTGATGACTCTATTAAAAGCAAATTAAGTGAGCTGTTTGATGAGAATGCCTTAGGTGGACAACAGAAAGCAGAGGCGTTTGAAGTTCAGTCGGAAGAATTTTCTCTCAACGAGCCTCAGGTAGACAAGAAACCCAAAGCCAAAGCCGGTAAAAGGAAGTATTCCCGCTCTAACCCAGATGGTTCTAAAGGAAAAAGCAAACAAAAGAAGAAGGATAAGCGAAAATCCAGTTCAGAAGATAATGGTTTGGAACGTAAAAAGAAATTAAAGGTGAAAGACAATAAGAAAAAATCTGCAGGGGGTGAACTGCACTACTATAATTTAGATGATAAAGTTCTGATGAAGAAACGGTACATTTTGGAAAGCGATGGGGACTGGAGTACTCGCATGGCTCTTAATAGAGAAAAGTTAAGGGCTCTTGGTGAAAAAAGTAATGATCAAATATTGATGAAAGATAATGAAAAAAAATCTGGAGGGAGTGATTTGCACTACTATAATTTGGATGATAAAGTCTTGATGAAAAAAAGCTATAATATGGAAAGTTACGGGGACTGGAGTACACGCATGGCTCTAAACAGAGAGAAGTTAAGAGCCCTCAGTGAAAAAGGGAATGATCAGATATGGGTGTTTGAACGTGCAAGGGCACGACGTGATATGCGAGAGGAGACATTTACAGAGTGATTGTATTCCATATAATTTGCTTTCTTATGTTGTAGAGATCTGACCTGTAGAGATTTTTTTCCTAAATCCTTCATTGTGACTTGAAAATGTTTCCCCTCGTCAAAGAACTTTGAGTGAAGTGAACTTAAAATGTTCTTAGGTTACTTGAGAGGAAAAAATATCAGTAGACTGGGACAAGGTCTGAGTCATCAATTTGTGATTTCCTTTTGTGATTTTTGTTTATTGTTTGTCTATGGTTGTCCTGCTCATGAAGCTCGTCGTAATTGTACACAAGTATTTAAGTTGATGACATTTGGTTAGATGTATGTATTAACCTAATTTATTAATTGCTCTCTCGTTTTTGAAAGGCAATATTCAATCCATTTTTATTTTACTTTCTTCACACCATTTTCGTTTGAAATGTGTATGTTTCATTTTGTCTCCTGTTAATTGTATTACTGTGTGATTTTGTTCCCTCATGTACCTGTTGTCTTACTTTAATTATTTCTTAACTCGGTGTGATCCAACCCAGTTAGTTTGTGGATTATATATGATAGGGGATGAAAGCAAGTTTACACGCACTGAGCTGGTCATGATTTAGACATAATGCGGACTTTGCTGATCATAATCAGCACCAGTAAAATTGTTTAAAATCCAACGTAGATGTAAGTCTTACTTGTTTGACAGTGTAGGTTCTTTGATTGTTTACTTTTTACTGTAGTGACATTATCTTTTCCTTTTTAGTTTGTTTCTTGAGCTCATCTATAATCTATGAAGAAGTCCGTCCTTAGCCTATTGTAACATCCTGAGGTATGGGTCTAGTTGATTGAGCAAACCCTTATTATTATTTTTTTTGAATGGTCCATAGTTTTAAATTCTTGTCTTCATTTGTTGTTGTAAATTAACTCACGAGCATGTCATTTAATTTTGTCTTAATACTACTTGATTAGTTTTGTGTGTATCTCTCATATTATGTTGATTGATTAGTATTTATTAATCTGATTGTGAGGCACAAAAAATGCCCACTGTCCCTAAAGCTGAGGAGTGCCAAGTTACGTTAGGAGCACAGGATTTATGACTTATGTCATACATGTGCTTTTGTTTAGTATAGTTTCTGTAAAATTAGATTCAATATTTACTGTTTGCAAAAGTTTTTCCTTAATAATTTCTGTAGATTGCCATGTTATTACCTGTGCATATTAATGATCATAGTGGAGATTGACACATTAGAGTTTCACTAATTTATCTATACATGCTTTTTTAGTAGTTCTGTGTTAAGAATTTATTGAAGTTACTGTGTAGTGTAATTTAAACCGAAATTCAGCAAAGTTGATCTTCCTCCTGCTCCATGATGGAGTTTTTCTCAGATTATGCTGTAATTCAATATCAAATTAAACTTTTATGCCATGTGGCTTTTGCTTGCTAGTGTTTCTGTGCCAAAAGGTGCCCTTTGGACCAATAGATCTTTCACGTTTTATCTATAGACAGCTCTCTGCAGCAATGTGTTGACCAATATTTGATATAACTTCTATCCAAGTATTGATCATTTAGTTTTTGACAGGTTCTGAATTTCTTCATTTGATTATCAGTCCACAAGAATCTTAATTTTTGTACTAAAATAAATAGCTTGTGCTTTTTTTTTGTAAAACCACAATACCGATCATTGTATGCAGCTTACATCCACACTCCATAACGTAACCTGGGATTCTAGTTGCTTCAACGTACTTCATTTGTTAGAATAAATATACTGTGTAGGAAGAGGAAAAAAGTCAAAGAACCTTTCATTTTATTTTGCAAAAATAAAGCGATTAAGACCTTAATAAACAACTGTCTCTAATTATTCATCTTTGAAGGCTACTCCTCAGATGAAGAGGTGGCAAGGGTGGAGGTAGCGGTAGCCCCGTGTAGCCAACAGTGGTCGAGGTGGTAGAGCTAAGGCTCCGGGTTCGCGTTCGTGGGTGTGTTCTGCCTCTCTCTCTCCCCCCCTCCCCCTTCGGGGAAGCACACAGTGTACACACGCGGGCCTGGTGGGGCCTTCCTCGTCGCGATACGCGCCCGATGGCCGGGCCCGCTGCGTGGCGTTGCCTCGGCGTTGCGTCTCGTCCCCTTGCCGCCGCTTGCTGCTCGATTCCGCGTCCCGGCTTCGGCTTCGCCGAGCTTCGCCTCAGTTGGGTTGGGTGCTGTCCCGCTGCTCGACGCGCGTTGCAGTGTAGCGGAGTCCGGGCTGCGACGCCCCACGGCCCCAACCAACCGGTCCATCTCGGCTGCTGCAAGGCTTCTGCAGATCGCGGAGCCCACGCGCTCCAGCGCTCCGCGCCATGGCGACGCTCAGGAGAGGTAAACCGGCGGCCTCTGTCGCTGTCGTCTCGACGACCTTTCGAATATTCGATCCGCGAGTGCGCCGCAGTGTCTGGAAAAGAATTCGGACGACGCGCCGACGCGGAACGGGGTCTGCCGTGGGCCGGGCCTTGGAGTAGCCGGAACGGATTGCCGGTACGGCTCGGCGCAGCTCGGCGTCGCCAGTTCGTTGTGGACAAACAGACGCCGACGCCCTCCACACCGACTGCAGGAGTCAACGAACGATGAGGCGAATCCTCCGCGTGGAAGCCGACTGCGGAGTGCTTCCGAATCCCTACGGAGCGCCCCATGAGTGCGAGGGAGAGGGAGTCAGAGCGACCGCGCCACTGTTCGGAATACGCCTGCCGGCTTGGCGTGCTTGGCGTCCCATGAGTGATAAGACGCCGATCGGAAGGTGTTGTGGCAGCGGTCGCTCTGTCTCTCTCGCTGTCGCCAAGGGTCCTGAATCGCAGAGCGGCCGCGCGAGGCAGTGCGCGCCGAACGGACTTGGTCATTCGGAAGGGTCACTGCCCCGCGCCCCGCCCTTCCCTCTCTAGGCGTCGCAGGGTCAAGGGAGCAGTGCTGCGACTGGCCGGGACACCTAGCACCGCCTTGGCAAGCCGCTGCGTCGCTGCGTCGCTGCGTCGCTGCGCCCAGGCAAGGCCGGCAAGGCCCATGCAAGGCCTAGGCCCGCGATAAGACCATGATTGAATAAGAGCGGCGCCGTGGCGTACCGAAAGACTCGGCGTGGTGGGGGCGTGGTGGGGGCCCGTCCGCTTTGTTTACTTTGTTTACTTCGACCAGCTGAGCGAGCTGGGCGCGGCTGCCGGCGGCCGGCCTCCGTAGCCCCGACGCGGAGCCCGGCGGAGCCGAGAGGCAGGCCGTCTCTCACTGCCAAGGCCAGCCCACCGGGCGCCGGGCTGCAGAGGCACACGGAAAGACTGGCAGGCGGACAGAAAGTTGCAAAAAGAGAGACAGCGAGGCAGAGACAGCTGTTTGTTCGTTATGATAAAAAGGCGTATCCAACTCCCTTCCTCCTCAGCGACGACGGTGTGCACCGCTGTGTTGTTGTGCCTGGCGCGAAGCCACTTTAAAAAAAGGCAATATCATCCGGTGGAAAGCAGCCTGGACGCCGAATCACAATAACAACAGCAGCCTGTTGACCTCGAGCTGCTCCATCCAAGCTGCTGGAGCGAGCGCCTGCGAGGTGGACCGGCCCGCCGCGCAGCCATGTGTTGCAGAGCTGCATATCGTCGACTCCGCGGGCGCCCGGAGCTGGCCCGCGACTTCGACCCCACGCACTACAGCTCGCACTTCTTGGCTGGCCCGCTCCGAAAGCTGGAAAACTCAAGGCGATTTGTTGTTGTTGTTTGTCGACAGCAAGCCTTCTGCTGACGGGCCGGTCCGCGCCGGGCGGCGCCCGCCATGTTTCGTCCCTGCCCAACATGCCGGCCTGCTCCCACGTCCCCAAGCCCTACATGGTAAGAAGGTTAGGTTAGGTCTATTTTTAAAATGGAGGCCGTTTTCAGTTAGGAACAAAAATCATTTAAAAAAAATAAAATATTGTTGTTGTTGTCAGGGTCCCAGTTACGACGAGATGGTCCGCACCCGGGACGCGCACTTGGTGCCGTGCCTCAAGTCGTACTACAAGAAGCCGCTGCTCATGACGGAGGGGCACATGCAGTGGCTGTTCGACCACACGGGGCGCCGCTACCTCGACCTCTTCGGCGGCATCGTCACAGTCAGTGTGGGGCATTGCCACCCGTACGTACCTTCCGTACATTTAAAGTTGATTTTCATTTTTGGCGGAAACCTTCCATACATTTAAAGTTGATTTTCATTTTTGGCGGGAACCTTCCATACATTTAAAGTTGATTTTCATTTTTGGCGGGAATGAGTCAGTCTGGCCTCACTGGGTAAAATGTGGTTAACAGTCGAAATGAGAAAACGGAGACTTTTCCCATCAGAGCTCGTGTAAATTGAATAAAAATTTTGGGCCACGCGAGAAAAACGCTAAAGTTCGGCGCCCAAAGAATATTTTATTTAAAAACAAGAAGCAAAGAAATATCAAAATATGATATTAGGGCATGTGACTCGTTCTTTACTCAGGTTTAATTTGAAATTTTCATGTGAAAATTGACATTGTGTTGTAGACATGTGAAAGAGGTGGTGGTTGAGTATTTTGAATGTTGTGGTTGAATGAAAGATCTCAAGGGAGAATAAACTCCGCGATTGTGGCATTCGACTTCCCTACCATCGCGGGAATATCTTCCCAGAGACCTGTCCACAAAAAATGACCGAAGCGACCACTTTCCCGCGACTCGCCAGTTCAGTTGATATTTTCTCCACGAGATGTCACTGCCATCGCCATTTCTAACCATTCATTTGCTCCATTCCACACTAAAGTTTTTTTTTCTATTTGTACTTTTTCTCTTAATTTTACCTTCTATATACATAAAAAAAATCTTTTAATTTTTTAAAAAAGGTAAATTAGCTTGTCCGCCTCATATTGCAACTGACAGTTCTTCATTTCAAAAATTAGTGTGACTGTGTAGTGTACATGGCACAAAATGTCAATTTTCACTGAATATTTCGTGTTAAACAAAAAAAAAACTTCTTTCAAATGTTTTCAATGAAGTCATGACCTTTCTAACCATACTATTAAGAAGTCTTAATGTTATTTATTTTGAAAGATCAACCTGATCACTAACTTATATCACACCAAAAACAATACTCGTTCTCCTCACCACCTCTACATTTTTTAGTACAGTGAGGTAAAGAACGAGTAAAAATATTGTGTTGTCTAGACGTGTGTGCAATGTCGTCCACCAGGAAGGTGACTGCGGCGGCGACGGAGCAGATGAACACGCTGTGGCACACCACGGCCATCTACATGCACCCCAAGATCCAGGAGTACGCCAAGAGACTGACCGACAAGATGCCCGGAGACCTCAAGGTGCGCCCCGTGATCCAGTTGACAAACTGACGTGGTCCGTTCGCCCGCTCATCACATCATTGGCATTTCCACAGGTGGTGTACTTCGTCAACAGCGGCTCCGAGGCCAACGACCTGGCCATGCTGCTGGCGCGGCTCTACACCAAGCAGTTCGACATCATCTCGTTCCGCAACGGCTACCACGGCATGAGCCCCTACGTCATGGGCATCACGGCGCACTCCACGTGGCGCTTTGACGTGCCCGTCGCGCAGGGCGTGCACCACGTGAGTCCGCGCTCCGGCCTGCAGCCATAGGGTTGCCAACCTTCCCGCGCTCCAGCCATAGGGTTGCCAACCTTCCCGCGCTCCAGTCATAGGGTTGCCAACCTTCCCGGGGTGCTGACGACCCCTTCTGCTCGCAGGCCATGAACCCCGACCCCTACCAAGGGCTTTGGGGCGGCAAGCACTGCCGGGATTCGCCCGTGCAGACGACGCGGGACTGCAGCTGCGCGCCCAACGAGTGCGAGGCCGCCGACAAGTACTACACGCAGCTGGAGGAGGTGTTCAAGTACTCGCTGCCCAGGGGCAAGGTGGCCGGGCTGTTCGCCGAGTCCATCCAGGTGCGGCTTTTCATACTCTACCCTGTTTTTCATTACCTAACCTAACCTAACTCGCTGTCTGCGGTGGCAGGGGGTGGGCGGCACCGTGCAGTTCCCGAAGGGCTTCCTGAAGAAGGCGTACGAGTTGGTGAGGATCAACGGTGGCCTCTGCATCGCGGACGAGGTAAGCCGTGCGCCACGGCGCCGTGGTCCATGACTCTCGCTCGAGGACGACCTCACGCATCGCGACGCGTTTGCTGTTGCAACAGGTGCAGACGGGCTTCGGCCGGACCGGCGAGCACTTCTGGGGCTTCGAGGGCCACGGCGTGCGGCCCGACATCGTCACCATGGCCAAGGGCATCGGCAACGGCTTCCCCCTCGCCGCCGTGGTCACGACGCCCGCCGTGGCCGAGTCCCTGGGCCAGGCCCTGCACTTCAACACGTTCGGCGGCAACCCGGTGGCCTGCGCCGTGGGCATGGCCGTGCTGGACGTCATCCAGGAGGAGCGTCTGCAGCAGAACAGCCAGGTAGGGCGGAAAGTAAACGAAAATTTAAAAAAGTTTTTTTTTTTCTAAAAATTATAAATAAAAAAAACTCTTGTTTTTGTTTGTAGGTGGTCGGAACCTACTTCCTCCAGGAGCTGGCCCGCCTCCGCGACCAGTTCCCCTGCGTCGGTGACGTCCGCGGGAAGGGCCTGATGATCGGCGTAGAGATGGTCAACGACCCCGTCACCAAGGCCCCCATGAACAACAAGCACTTCATCGACCTGTGGGAGGACTGCAAGAACATGGGCGTGCTGCTCGGCAGGGGTGCTCTCAACGGCAACGTGAGTGCGGGCGGGGCACGGCTGCAGAGGATTCGATTCAAACGCGTTTGCGGATGCTTTATTTTTGTTGTCTCGCTTTCACGCAGGTGTTGAGAATCAAGCCGCCCATGTGCATCACCAAAGAGGACGTAGACTTCGGGGTGGCCGTGCTCCGCAAGGCGCTCCAAACCCACACCGAGAAAACCAAGCGACAGCCGGGCTCGTCGTAGGCAGCACTCACATTTTGTACAAATATGTCCCTGTAAATAAATCTCCCAACATTATTTTTTTTAAAAATCGACTCTTTTTATTGGTGACCAAAACCCGTGTAGCCCATCTACCCGCAAAGAAAACGGAACGGCTATAGCTTGAGCCGGCCAATACCCCGGGCTGCAGGGTGGGTGGCGTGGCGATACTCCGTGCAGCTGTTGCTACTCCGTGCTCGCGCCAAGCAGGGAATGTCGCCACGGACGCTGCTGTACAGCAACGTCAGGTTTCAAACTGAGCGACTGAAGCCCTGCCTTGTTTGATCGCTCAGTGGCAACGGCTGTGCGATGATGCGTTGATGCGTGGGGGCAGAAGCAAGGTTTAGACAGTCCAGAAAAGCCGCACGTTTGAAGCTGGCGGACGGAAACAGAAACAAAACCCGTTTAGTATTAGCCCGGTGTGATTCTTCTTCTGGCGGTGGGTGAGTGGAAGAGGGAGGGGAGGGGGTGTCGCTGCACTAACCCTCTGGCGCCAGGGCAGCCATCATCGGCGACAGACAGCCCCACCCCCACGGGCCTCGATGCAACAGGAGGCTGGGAAAAATGACGCCCGAGCGTTCCTGGCCGTGCCGCGCCGTGCCGCGCCGTGCCGGCCCCACTGGCCCTATCGCCCGGAATCCGGAGTGGAGCAACAAAATATTTTCCGGGGTTTGCGACTGCAGACTGCCCGAGGAAGGGCGCGGCAAGGCTTCCTGGCCGCGTGGGGCTGCGTGGGGTCGCCTGATGACAAGACAACAGAGTTTGGGACGCGGCAGGGCGCGGGGGCGTGGAGCGGTCGAAAGGGGGAAGGGAGGGGGCTGCCGTGGTCGCCCTGACAGGGATTGCTCATAATGCCGAGACGACTTTGAGCAGCGTTTTCTGAAATGGACTGGGAGGGCGTAGGAAATATGAGTCGGGAGAGCGGGGGCCCCGCCGCTCCGCCGCTCCGCCAGGCTGTTTGATGGAGGGGCTCCATCGTTCGTCCAGAAATCGCCACTCTCCCGGAGCTTCGCCAGGCTTCGCGGAGCCCCCTTCCGGGCCGCGCCAGAGATTGGACGTCATCGCGGAGGCTCCGGGGACGGAGGGATGACGACGATGACGACGATGACGACATGCGTCTGGGGCGCGATAAGTGAAGTTCGGAGCCTCGCCGTCGCCGCGTCGCCGCCGCCATCCCCGACGATAACTTTGGCGGTCCATGCAAGAGGTGGTGCCGAAACATTGGCGCCCATAGCCGCAGATTTATGGGCCACTATAATCGGCAGTCCATGCAGGCACCGCCAGGCGTCCGCCAGGCTGGGCCTGTCTGTCTCTCTCGCACTCACGGTGCGGTCCGCACGGGTGCGAGAGAGACAGACCGACGGGACCCCCCACTCGGAATGAGCCTGCTGTTCGTGCCCCACCCCAGCGGGGCCACCCGGGGCCACCCGGGGCCACCCGGGGCCCAGGGCTGGCCGCCTGGCCCTACGCCCCGCCGCAGAGCCCTGCCCGGCCCTGCCCTGCCTGGCCCTGCCCGCCGGGGTGTGTCTAAACTGGCCGCCCAGCCCGACGGACTCGCGCCGCGGCCCTACAAGACGCCGAGACACCGCACCGCGGTCCAGGCAGGACTCACGCAAAGGAACTCGCGAGACGAGCGTTCAACTGCATCGCGGAAAATTCTCCAGTGTAGAGACACTTGGGGTGTAATCGGCGCGGCATGCGGCGCGCTGCAGCAGCACTGCAACTGCGCTGCGACAAGGCACTGCTCTTTCTTGGCCACGTGTTGTTTCGTTTCGTGATTTACTTGCACGGGGCGGGGGGGGGGGGGGACCACGTGGCGCCACTATTGCGTCCGTAACTCAACGACAAGGGCCCGGGCGCGCGTCCGGCCCGTCCGGCCCGGTCCACTCGGGCCGGCCGCCGAGGCCGCCGAGGCCGGCGAGGAGATGGAGGCGCCCCGGCGGCCGGCCTATCCTCCCGGGGCACTGCGTCTCCTTACTTCCAGTCCGTCGCCCCGCGGCCCGCACAGTGGGCCAGAAGACCGGTGGAGGCGGACAAAACTCCAGACGCGTTTTGAGCTCCAGAGTCGCTGAATGGGACTCGAACCGAACGTGTGACCCCACCAATGGATTGCTCTCCGAACGAGGAATCCATTGGTGGGGTCATACGTTCGGTTCGAGGCCTGCTCAGTGACTCTGGAGCTCAAAACGCGTCTAGAGTTTTGTCCGCCTTCACCCGCCTTCTGGCCCACTGTGCCCCGCCGCGCCCCACCCGTGTAAATAAGCGGGCCGATGCAACAGGGCCGCACAACGACGAGCGACTCGTCAAAGCCTTGGCCAGCCTTGGCCGCGGCCAACGATTTGGCTGTCTCTCTCGCACTCACGGGGCTCTCCGTCAGGGTGCGAGAGAGACAAAGAGAGAGAGGCCGAGCCTGGCCGCCTGGAAAGCCTTCGTCTAGCAGCCTGGGGTCAAGTTTAGGCGTGTTCACTCCCTTCTGTTCATTCCATCTTCCAGCCCGTTGGCCACGGAGGGTACTCCAGCGGGCTGGGGTTGATCCTGGAGAGGAGGCCCGCCTGGAGCTTGCTTACTTAAGCCCTAGGCTGGGGCCGGCATGTGTGGACGTGTGTGTGTGTGTGTGTGTGTGTGTGTGTGTGTGAAGGGGGCGGGGGTGGGGGTGTCTTCGGCTGCTGCTTCACAAAGCAGGCACGTTTTCTATTCATGCCCCACCCTCTCGAATAGGAAAAGTTGGAGGGTGGACTCTTGCACCAGGCTGGCAGTGGGCCGTCACAGCACGCCGACAAGCAGCGCGACAACAACAACAACAACAACAGCAGCAGCAGCAACATCAACAGCCGTAGGAAACGTTCGGATCCGATATCCGGACCCGCCCCCTACGGTGACCACCGTGCTCTCCGCTAAGTTGCTGCCTGCGCCTGGCCGTCCGAGTGCCTGCCTGCCTGTCTGTCTGTCTGTCTGTCTGTCTGTCTGTCCGACGCTGTCCCGCCCAATCTCGCCGCCAGTAAGAAAGTGAGAAAACGTGCGACATTTCTGAGCCGAGGGCCTACTCTCCTCGCACTCTCTGTATCTTTATTGTCTCTCTCTCTCTCTCTCTCTCTCTCTCTCTCTCTCTCTCTTACACGCACTCGCACACGCACGCGCGCGCACGCGCACTGCCTCCCTTTGGATATCGGAAACTTGCAGATCCTATTCGATCAGCCGCTGGAATATAAATTATTGCCCGGGGACCCGGCGGGACGCCCCGCCCGGCGAGAGAGAGACAGAGACAGAGGAAGCGTGGCCCCGGCCCGGGAGAGAGAGAGAGAGAGAGAGAGAGAGAGAGAGAGAGAGAGAGAGACTAATGGAGGATTCCTCACATTGCTTGCCGGCATTGGGAAGGTTATGGGTCCCTGCGCTTGAGCCGTGCTTGAGCCTTGTGAACAAAATAATGCGATATTGCTCAACGGAAGCACTACTACTATGTGTGAAGCCGAGCGAATGATACTCAAAAGTCAGAAGGACTTACTCCGCCCTTCACAAAAAAAAAGAACGGTTTCGAAAAAAAAAAAATAAGCAGGGATTTATTTGCGATTCGTAGAGAAAAACAAAACAAACAAAACTGAAACACAGGGCGGAATCTTCTGGCATTCCCTAAAACACACTTCAACGATCCTATTACTGCCCTTTACTGCTCGCACACAAGCACGCACATTCAAGCGGGCACACACAAGCACACACGCCCGGTTCCGGATTTGCTCATTCGCCGTGCGCACGACCCTGGCGCCTTTACGTTCGACGTTAGGACGAAAAGCGTCTTCCGCCGGGCTTTTTATTGTCTGGGACAGCCTGCCTTGCCTTCGGCCTGGACTCGGCGGGGAGAGGGAGGGGACCGCGTCGTCTGCTGCGACCGAGTACCAGTGGAGGAGCCGCGCTGTAAACAGGGCGCCGCGGCGCGTTTGAATGGAAGCAGGTAGACAGAGAGGCAGGCAGACGGGGCGTACCAGTGGCAGTTGTCTTTGTTCGTCGCAAAGTGAGGCTGCTTCGCTCGGGCTGCTTAGACACTGTAAGCGGGGCTGCCAGTTCATGTCGCGCGCCCACACTGTTCGTATCTTATACTTTCCCTCAAGCACCCCTCATCATTTTTTGGGTAGTCGGAAAATTTCTGCTGATACTACACTGACCTAAAAACACACATACTCACCTCGGCCAAGGCAGACAGACAGGCAAGCCACAGGGTGTTCAGGAGCCCAGAAAAGACCCGCATAGAAAAGTATTCTCACCGAGCTCCCCATCAAACTTTCAGCATCGTGTTCGAACAGCAGGCGGGTCGGGTCGTATATCTGTGGGAACGGCCACCGGCGTCTCCCACCCCTTCTCCTTACACTCACACAAACACACACACAGAACTGTTTCGCCCGCAAAGCAAAATCAGATCCAGATTGGCTAAAATTTCACGCAGGGCCTAAGATCGCGCTGTAAATTGCTTGGGGCGTTTTACACCGCTGGGGGTCCGGTCCCGAGCCTCCCCTCCACCCGCCCCTGGCCTCGGCCGCCGTCCTTGAAGACAGGGGTCTTGTTCATTAGAGCGCGTGCGGAGGCGGTCAGGGCGTCGGCCCCGCCGTGGCCTCGCCCCCCGGGGGCCTCCGCCCCGGGGAGGCCCCCAGCACGCCAGAGCAGTGTAGGGCACAAGGCTCATCTCCTGGAGCAGCACGCTGTACCGGGGGACGGCGGCGACGCCAGAGGAGGATACAGTATAGCAAGGGACTGCCCCGCCAGAGACTTAATTTCACATACTCACCCGGGGTGCGGGAAATTTTGACGTGAATTCCAGCCGCTTCGTCGTCGTGTCTCTCTCACACCCGTGGACGCCCTGGGCGCACTGTAGGAGTGCGAGAGAGACGGAGCACTGCTCGGACTGCACTGCAAGGCGCGACGCGCGGTTCAAGACCCCTCCGACGGGTCGCGTCGGCATCGGGACCCACACCCACAAAAATAGTTTCTTGATTTTCGTGGTTTTTGTAAAAGAAAAACTTTGTGTTCAAAAAAAAAGTTTCGGATCAAGAAATTATTT